AGCCTAAATTTACTAGTCGGTACAGTGAAGTAATATCTAGTACCGATAGGTGGCGATACACATTTTACCAGTCGGTAATAAAATATAGTTAACGCACACACTATATGTTTTTATTAATTGATTAAAAATAAATGCAACTCCCCAATCAACTTTTATATGATAAAAGCAAGTGTATTTTAATAGTATTATATTTACTTCTTCTTCAAACAAAATTATATTTACCTTTAAACATATTATTGTCTAGATTATTTGTAGTCAGAGCAGCTGTATTCTTTTCGCGTAATAATTCACATTGAATCTCTACAAAAAAGGTATTTATTAACAAATACATCACTTTTTCTTTTCAATCAATGAAAAAATAATATCTTCTATTACCGTGTACAAAACTTGATAAAAGATTTTGACATGAATAGAATTTCCTAATATAATGTATTTGCCATTTTTTTTCTTAATTTGTGATAACTAGAATACATTTCTTCTAGTATTCTTTTGACAGAATACTACTGCATATGGTTTTCTTCCAGTGCAAGTATAAAAAGAATAGTGCATTCAAAAATCTTTCATAGTTGCAGTATTGTTGGATTCTTCTTATCAATCTTCATAATAATGAGTAGACACTTCTAGTCAAATTTTTTCCCTCCCCTGTGGAATGAATCAGTTTATCAATCAGTTTGATATAGATTTGTTTTTTACAAATACAAGATTGCAATGCTTACCTTTTGACACATTCTTGTCTTGATCATTCTTTGTTACTGCAGCTGCATTCTATTTACCATATATTATAGAATAAAACTCTTATTTGGATGGCATAATCAATACAAATCTTCTAATCGTTAGCCGTAAGAAAATGAAATATATATTCATTGATCCAATGGTGTAATGGACTCCTCTTCTTTTGATTATAACGTTCTTGGATTGGAATTTAAAATATAGATCTGCATGCTGATCTGAACTAAAAATATTTTAAAAAGTTGTTTATATATGTACCAAAATAAGTTTGAACAGGGAGAAAATGTTTAGATAAGGCATAAAGTTAAAAGACAAAATAATCCATATATTTTAATAATTAGTAGAATTTCGTATAACAAAATATATACTTTACTTACTAGTATTTGTTATAATAATTTGATAAAAAGAACGTCTGGAATTCATCTGCATTCTCGGATTTAATTAAGAAAATTATTTTTCTTAGGTTACGACATAACACTGCCCAACAGCAATTCATCCAGATTACTATTTATATCCAGAGTTGACGATCACTGAAGAAAGAATATGAAAAGAATTATTATAAATTAAAAATATTCCTCACTTGATTATTGCATCACTAAGAAGAATTTCTTTAATGTAATATTTTACACTGCACATTGCCTGTATTTACGGTATTCAAAGTACATTGACAGGTAGCCATCTTGATTTTCTCCTACCGATGTGTTATCTTTCGTCTAGATGGCGCCACATATTCTACCTGCCGGTAACTGAAGTAAAAATTTCTATCGTTAGATAAAAGCATATTTTTACTAGTCGGTACAATGAAGTAATAGCTAGTACCGCTAGATGGCGAAGCATATTTTAATAGTTGGTAATAAAATACAGATTACCCACACACACATACAAAATATTTTGATTAATTGATTTAAAATAATTGCAACCTAAATCAATTTTTATATGATAAAAGTAAGTTTATTTTAAAAGTATTAAAAAATTTACTTCTTCTTTTAACTAAATTATTATATTTGCCTCTTAACATATTATTGTCTACATTATTTTTAATCAGAGCAGCTGCATTCTATTCGCATAATAATTCACACGGAATTCCTTGCAAAGAAGATATTAATTTACATAAATACGTAAATTTTTCTTGTCAATCAATGAAAAAATTATATCTTTTATTACTGTGTACAAAACTTAATAAAAGATTTTGACATAAATAGAATTTCCTAATATAATGTATTTGCCATTTGTTTTCTTAATTTGTGATAACTAGGATACATTTCTTCTGGTATTCTTTTGATAGAACATAACTGCATATGATTTCTTCCCAATGTAAGTATAATAAGAACAGTTCATTTAAAAATCTTTCATAGTTGCAGTATTGTTGTATTCTTCTTATCAATCTTGATAATAGTGAGTAGACACTTCTAGCCAAATTATTTACCTCACCTGTGGAATGAATCCATTTATCAATCACCCATAGTGAATCGATGGGTACAGCTTTTGTTTTTGATAAAGATCGCAGTGAAATCATGCATAAAGGAACTTTGTTTTTCTTTTAATCAACGGAATATCGTTTCCTCCTAATCTCCGAGTGGAGTTTCCTTTCACTAAGATCGATAGCGTATTCAAACAGGAAATAAAATAAAGAAGAAACTACATATTAATTTTATTGTCTACGTATTCATTTTTATTTACATTTAATTCGATTTTATTTTATATGATTTTGGATAATATTCTAGATAACTTATCGTTTTGTTCTATTTTATTTTACAGATATAACCATGGATTCTTTTTCTTTCAAAAATGTTGGATGAATTCTTCGATGGATTTTGGGTGGATCTTCGATGGATCTTCTTCAATGGCAAATCGAGTATCGTCTTCCATCGTCAGACTACAATACTTGTTGCAAAGTAGGAGTGTTTTGGAGCCATTGCATTTACTACGAGTTACTAGTTTTAATTATTTAAATAAATTTTTAGCATTTCTTTTCTATCGACGTATCTTTAATATAGCGAATAATCGTTATTAGAAATGATAATATATAAGTAGAGAAGAGAAAAGATGTTTAAGGAACGTTTAAGGTAAAAAAAGGATTAAAAGTGAGGATACGTAACGCGTTGATGCTCTCTTCGAAAGGCGCACATGCATCCACGTATTATGAAGTAATGATGTGGTGTAATGGAGTGCGAGAGAGAGTGAGTGAGTGAGAGGATGAAGAGAGGTTGAGCGCGTGACAGAACACGTGACCAGGAGCACACGGAGCTCGCGTGACTGGCCTCGTGACGTCAAACGCACGTGTCGCATAGCGTGGCAACTGCTCCACCCTCCTCGCCACGTTCTTACTTACTCTCTCTCTCTCTCTCTCTCTCTCTCTCTCTCTCTCTCTCTCTCTCTCNTCTCTCTCTCTCTCTCTCTCTCTCTCTCAATATACTGCACTTTACATGAGCTTGTCTCCTTGTAGTGGTCAGTAGCGTCTCGAGTTTTCGCTTTACCCTCCTTCGTCAACTTTACTTATAGTCTTTTGAAAGAGGAGGCTTTCACCCAGAAAATCATAATTTTTTTTAACCATTTCTTTCTTTCTTACTCTTTTTTACTCTCTTATTCCCTAACATGTAAGATCAAATCATCGCTATTCGATAATGCCTATGATTTATTAATACTGGATGGACTATTGCGTAGATTATCGTGTTATATGTCATGCTTCGTTAATGCTTCTCGGGATTAACCTGATCAGAATTTTGTATAATATTCATATTCAAATATGAGGTTTCTTCATTTGGAAAACTTGCTATACGGCCCTGTAATATCCCCACTCTTACTCCGTTTTCTCATCTTCTCTGTCTCAGTCACTCTATAAGGAACGCGTATCGCGCGTGGAATTTCTCGGTCGAACGAGTCAACGGCCTTATCGGTGAGTTTACACTCGCGGTGAGTCGCAACGGTGACTGTCACGGCAGAGAACTCTAACGTTTTTGCCGTTATTTCATTTTCCATCCTGCACGCGAGCTAACGATTTTTGAAGTTATTTAAAGTGTCTACAGTGTCTTGCTTTCAAACGCGCGCCCCAATGATCTCTGCTGCGCGCGCACTAGTTAACGAAACTCGGAGAGAGAAAGGGCGCTAGTACAAACTTTGCCGCGAAACTGGACGTGGAAAGTCGCGAAAGAACGTCGTGGCCGACCCACGACGGCTTGCATTGAATGTGTCAGTGATTTTCCGGAGGCGAGTCTAACTTAGTCGCTTTACGAGTGCGTGCGTGCGTGCGATCAATCAAGAACAGGGACGAAAGAAGAACTATCATTAGGCCCTTCTTTACGAAAAGAGGACCTCCTCCTATTTTCGAGGAACTATTTTCGTCAATGGGCTTGCCTTCTTTTCTCTTTTCTTTTTTTTTTTTTTTTATCCTTTTCCTAATCCTAGTTGTCCTGTTGCTAATCGAGCAAAGATACCACTAACATTTTTCAACTTTCAAGAAGACTTGTTTGTCACGTTCTTCAACTTTTTCAAGTATCATCAAGATACAAAGGGCGTCAAAGGATTTTTCTTCCATCATTTTATTCCAACGAGTTTGAAAGAGCGATTTCACTAATTTTTGAAAGACACTCTGACGTAACCTCGTTCTATGCTTCAAGATGATGGAGACGCAGAATTATTGGGAAGACAATTCCACTCATTCTATGCAAGTCAAATATGAGAGGTAAGACATAAAATGCTCTTTGAAACGCTAATACTATAAATAAAAAGTAATAAGTATAAGCTTAAGGCTGTTAACTTTTAGTCGATCAATCATATCACGAAGCGCGTGCTTTTGTGTCAACAGATAAGGCATTTGTCGTTTCACAATGTAAAAAGAATCGAAGAACTTTCGTTGCCTCAAGAAAACGTTTCATCGTTGCATTAAAAAAATTTTTCTTTTTCTCGTTCTTTTTTATTAAGTTCAATCATCGCTAAACAAAATCGCCAATCGTATGAAAAATATTTCTATGGTTTACTTTCATAATTTGAAATAATATAATCCTTCTTTTAACTTGTCATTTTTTCTAATTATGTAATGAGCTGCGTTAAATGTCAAATATGTTTGTCGATTACGATTTTACGTAGAGATACATATATAAGTATGGAATAGAATTTTATAGTGCGCAAATCGATTATGAGTGCACAATCAGACAGAAAGATAGGAAATAAAATTAAAAGAAAATAATGTTCATAGTCGTATGTATGTATGATAGGTCAACGATATTAGTTTTTCTCGTAATGGAAATGCTTCTAAAAATAATTAAACATGAACAAGTAAGGCGACCGTTATCGCGTAAAATACTCAGGTGCTTCGATTTCGACTTTCTTACATCGCCTCGTGTACTGATAATCAAATACTTTCGTAGATATCGCTGTTTTATGTGTCTTTTCGAAAGTTTCTACCGCAAAAATTCATGGCCGTGTTGCTAGTGTGCTGTAGATAAGATAAATAATCGCAAGAACATCTCTTTTATTCTCTTATGTTGATCGAGCGCCACAACGTCACATAGTACGCGTCGTACTTTTTGGCTCGGTCGGTCGCTCGCTCGCTCGCTTGTTCGCTCACTCGACCAAATTAGATTCAAACGTATAAGCAAACGTTCAAGCGTTTCTTAAAGCACTGATCGACAGCTCGACATCGATGACTTTTCTAATTTGCTATTTTTTTATTTTTCCATTTTTCCACTTTTCTTAATTCGTCTGTACGCCGTTGAATAATTCTATTTCTAATTTCTATAGATTTTATATATTTATTCCATATAACTTTTGGTTTTTTAATGATCATGATCGAAGATCATCATGAAGAAGAAAGAAAATTCACTAAAATGTGACGTTTGCAGACGCGTCGGTATAATTGTTAAATGACATAGCAAGCTACTTGAAAATACCCATTAGGGATTAAAAAGATAATAGAAATGAGAAATTCGTTTAAAGGGTGCAAGAAGAAAAAGAAGTCTCGCACTGACGCAAGCGGGATCAGTACCTGCGTCATGGAAAACGACTAAAACATTATTACTGGACTTGTGTATGATAGATAAATAGAGTATATTTGTAATCTTTTATTTTTTCTTTGCCGTTTTTGGTTTTTTTGTTTTTTGTGTCTTTTTTGTCTTTTTTTAAGAGGTAAAACAGTTGAGGCGAAATTCTATCGTTAAATTTGGATGTAAATAATTTCGTAATATTATCGTAGGTGCAGGATTGCCTGCCACTATTCGGTGTAGCATCTCGAATATAAGCGTATCTGTAACATGTATGTACATATATGGTGGTTAACATGTAGAAAAGTAAAATGCGCTCGTTTCCAAGCCACGTTTTCGTTTCTCCATCCTCGGTCACAAGTAAGCACGTACTGTCCGTCGCACTCGTTTATGCGTGGGAATTCGCATACACGGGCAGGAGCAATGGCAACAACCTTTGGATTATCGATTGCTTCTCGCCTCACCTATTTACTCGAACGTTAGTTATCTTTTCCCGTCGCGAGCTTGATTTAATCTCGAAATCTCTTTCCGTCGCTTGTTTGCTTTTGCGTTATCTCCTGTCGTCGAAATTAGATATAGAGAAAACACAATAATATCTACTTATACTTATATACAAGAATTTTCTTTTATAGTAAAGTTAGTTAGTACTTCTTTCTTTTTTCTTTACTCTCTCTAATACTCTTCTAATACTCCTAATATCTATGTACAATTGGGATTCCCGTTTTATTACTTGTAAGAAGAAAATGATGGAAAGGATCGTTCACTGGTTACTCCTTATATTTGTCTTTGACTACTACTGATTGTACGCTGCTTGTGCTCTGACGCCACGGGAATTTATGAAGGCTCCGAGTTACTTTACTACCGTTAAGGAATGGGAACGCGAAGGTAGGCAATGAGTGCAATGCGCTCGAGAGAGTAAAAGCTTCTACGAGTCTTTTACCGCGAAATATCTCAACATATAAGTTACTTTCTTATCCCACTTTTCTTTCATTTATTTCCGATTGGAATAATTCATTCATATTCTTTTTCCTTAATATAGTATTAAATACACAAGTGATGTACATTCTTATTCAAAAATATTTCGATGATAAAATCATACGTGTCGCGATAAAGAGTCGTCATGGTACATATTTGTGCTGCTTTATTTATTTATTTTTTTCTTTTTTTTTTATTTATTTTTTTCCATTTTTCTCATTTTTCGATTAGATTTTTATAGTGATTTTTTTCACATCGCCAAAAAAAAAACGATCTCTAGATGGTTTCTTTTGTTCTACGAAATAATGAAAAAAACTGACGAGAAGCGTGCGTGCATGCGTGCATGTGTATGTATTTGTGTGCGAGAGAGAAGGAAAGTGAGAGTTACCTTGAAAGCGCACGTGTAGTCGCGCGTGCTTGCCGTGCGCGGGTGTTCGCTCTATGAGAGCTCATTGTTTTAATTGCACGCGCGAAAATAGTACTAAACTATTCGTTCGAGGATGCAAACGAATGTGATTGCGAGGATGTGATTCATTTTACAGCCGAACGAACGAATATGCCAAACATAGGCCCAAGCTTTGACCAGACATAATTAATGAGTTTTCTTTTCTTTGAGAAAAAAAAAGAACTAGACGAAATTTGATAAGTTTGAAAGAAACATTACGTTTCGGTTTTTAGTGAGATCGAGTCATGGTTCTAATCGCACAAATGTTCGAAATCTGGGTCGAACATTACCGAATTTAATCGTGCCGGCCAACTGTTCCTAGAATGTTTAACGTGCAGACGTTCTCAATATGCGCGAATGACTTTTCTTGTTCATACTGCCATTAATTTGATTGGATGAAAGTGTTTACGTGGTAAAATAATAGAAAATAAAAAGTAGTCGTTGTTTGCGTCTTTTTCGGAACCGGTGCGTTAGATAAACGAGAATGATGATGCTTGCTCCTGATTATTATAAACAGAGGACCGATAAATGTATAAGCGATATGCACGTAACGCAGAAAGACATTTATGCATATGATACAAGTGACGCGAAACGTTATTAGAAGTTATTATCGAAATCGAATTATTTCGGTGGTATAAGGAGATAGCATGATAAAGTTTTATTTCTCTAAAATCTTGAGATATGATTATGAGGATTTCTTCTTTTTCTTTTTCTTTTCTTCTCTCTTCTATTATCGACGTATTTTCAATTGCAAGACGATTTCTTCAATTTGGCGACTCGTAAGAGTTCAAGAGAATGAAAATGAAGCATTAGGCTAGCTTTAGTATCCCGCAGGTGGAAAAGGAAAGACGCGAAACGTCGAGGAAACGTGCGAATCATAGTTGTTTGAACGGTGAGTGGGGAGAACGAGCTGCCACGAAGCAACGCGCTTCAGCAAGAGAGAGTCACGTTGTCCGACACGCGCTATGCTGACACTCGAGCGATCTATGTAGGTTAGTATTTTTACATAGCTAGCAACTCGGTATCATGCGAACGGAAGGGAGACGACGACGCGACGTGTTTGCTTGCTTGCTTGCTTGCTTGCTTGCCTGCCTGCCTGCCTGCCTGCCTGTCCGCCGATCGCATGCATACGACGACGTATGTACGACGTGTGTACGACGTCTATACGACGTAAGCTCTCTATGAGATATGCTTGTATTGGGCCGAATATCGATAGACGCATTGACTTCGAATCAATTTTTCTATTTCAAGAAGGAAAGATTTCATATTTATTGGGGTTACATGTAATTCAAGGCTATTGAGTTCGTTGGACGAAAGAATAAACCTATAAGAACGATAGCTCGAAGCATTTCTATTTAAAATACATTATGCTCTCGGGAATAATTATAGTATCGTGCGCGTATATAGAGTATCGATGACCGATATGCAACGATTCGGTGAGAACCGACACGCAAGGTTCACGTGATGCGCACACTTTGTTGAAATTTCTATTTTAACCCATCTCTGATAGCTTATGTGAGCGGTGCTTCATTTTAATTATAACTAACGTGGTATATTATTATTCTACGGCGCATCCTTGACCTTTCGCAACGGCGCCCTCGCGTCATCGGCAAATAAACATGGAGGCTTTGCGAGAACTTTTGGTGCCGTTTTTACGTAACTAAATAAATCGCGACACGTGCGCGAGCAAACTCGGAGATAAAATATACTCGATTTTTAACTTTGTTGAATGCGAATATTAAATGAAATAGAGTGAAAATAGTTTTATCAAATAAAGAACAAAATCGAGATGTTCTTTTGTTAACACGTTGCCGCACACTTTTATTTGACGATCGTGCTTAGAAATACGAAGATCGGACGGTTATAGCCGTCATTTGCGGCAACGTGTTAATAGTTGTATGATATGGCACGATTAAAATTCGGAATCGAACGTTTTCTTTTTCGAGTTTGAGAAATTTAGTTCTACGAAAAAATATATCGTCAAATACTCGTGCACTCGTGTATCAAAATAATGATGGAAATCGCTACTGAACAGATATAACGTGTCAATTGTAATCGATTTAGCGAATAATACATACATATAATATATTATTTTATCGTTGCGTAGGTTATAACGATAGAAAATCTTACAATAAAATGTTGCTCCCGTACGCTGATAGTGTATTATATAGATGAAACTGTTCCGCACGTGCGTCCTAAGCTTGAACGATGAAAGTGAAAAAAGAAAAGATAAGCCTGGGCATGCATAGGTGCATAGAGGTAATTTATGTATCTATAATACATACATACATACATACATATCTCGCAAAGTATACGTATTGTATAGAATTTTCTCCGTTGCTGTGTCCAATTTTTCATTTGATATCTTTTTTTGTCTCCTCAACCTATAAATTGATTTAAAATCGTAAGTCTATACCTTTGCTCAAGGACGAAAGAAAGAAAAATAGCTTAGAAGGATATAAAGAATTGTTGAAATAAAGGTTCGAACTGTAGCCTTCGCTCTAGATGCGACATCCAACACGCGTTTGTGTATAATATCGATTATCAACTGTGCGCTCTACTACTAATACAGCCTGCACTATTTCACGAACGAGGAGCACGTATCCGATACAGAGTTCTAAAAAAAAAGCTTGGCTACCACGTACTCCTTTACTAATAATAACGTAATATTTTTATAAGTTAGAACTCGCGCGAGCGCAATTTTCATGGAGATAAGTAAGTATACGCATGTACAAATCTCCATTTACCTCCGCACGTGCGCGATATCCCTGTCTCTTGCTATTTTTTTCCTTCCTTCTCTCTCCGTTCTTAATCGACTGGTGGTCCCCTCCGAGCGAGTGGGGGTCTTGTAAGTGCTATACATACGTAGAGATATAATACGTGAAAGTGAATGCACGTACGCACGCACGTACAAGCAAGCAACCAACCAACCAACCACGGGTTCCGCGATGTCGACGTAAAGGTCGTTGAAGGACGTCTTCAATCGCAAACGCCATTATGTCATGATCTTTTCAGAACAAATCTCGAATCGGTACAAAATAACATGTTTTCTTTTTCTTCTTTTCTTCTCTTCTTCTCTTACTTTTATGAATGTTAGAAGATTGTAACATTCAAAAGACAACAGCGTGTATTAGCATTACCTTAATAGGTAAATTAATGTGTATGTATAATACTTACATAGAGCAATTGGTAAATGTTAATTGCGAAGTGACATGTCCGAGCAAAGTTTGCGGTTATTTTTGTGATCATTGAAATTTGGTTCTCCTAAAAGATCTTTGAATCCGATGAATCTTCTAACAAGGTAAAAACAATTTCTTTCTCGTTTTTTCTTGACGTATTTTTCAAGATAGATGTATCTATCTTGCGCATCGCATCTTTTCTATTATATATACCGTACATTGGAAGATGAAATGGATGGAAAGGGAAAAGAAGCCAAGGGGAGAACGATCTGTGAGAGAGTCACATGCAAGAAAATGTCAACCACGTGCGAGAACACGAGGCATAGTTTTCTTAGACATAACCAGTTCGGCCTCCTTACGTTAAGTAATTTCTTACACCGATAAAATAGGTGGTGAATGCGTGCGTGCGTGCGTGCGTGCGTGCATGCGTGCATGCGTGCATGCGTGCATGTACATTATTTGAATGTAACAGTGCTGCGCATTATGTGCTCACTAAAAAGCACGGCTTACTTACTCGACAAAATTTTCTTTCATTACAATGAATTTCTCTTTTTACTGACTTTTGCGTCATCATCAAACGTCAAGGTTTGTTTTCCGTTGCGATTGATAATTCGTTTCTTTCGTGACTGTGATGTAGGTCGATAAGCGAAAACGAGCTCGGCCTTAATACGAAGTGAAATTGATTTCATTCCAAGAGAGGTAGAGTGAAATTTGATGTCTGTTAAAAGAAAAAATATGTTCGATATGCAATAGGTATGCATTGACTTGGACTTAAATATAAATATGCATCTCCTGTAAATTTCATAAGCAACGACAATGTCGTTCGTGTTTTTGCTGTCTAGCTGGCGCATACGAAATAATCAGATCATCTTAACTTTTTCCATATGCTTCTTCTTATAGAAAAGAAAATCTATAATGGAATATAAGCGTGCCGCTAGGTATAACTTTCTTACTCTAGGTAGTATATCTTTCGAGCTATTTCAAGTATTACGTATATTAAGTAAATTGTCATTAATTCTCTTTCGTTTTATTCTTCCAAAGCCAGAGCTATAAACAACACCATATTTCTCTTCAATTACGTATTTCTTTATGTACATATATGAAAGTGAATGATTTCATAAATTTAAAATTCTTGCGAAAATCCTTAGAGACATGAATATGTTACCTACGTTAACCGCTATTTATGTACACATAGATATTAATTATATTTTTCAGTTTGGATGGAAGATCCTGCAAGGATGAAATTTATAGAATGGGCTTAGGAACAGGATACTGCGAAGGAAACTTGAATTTCGCCACTGCCTCGGAGGACGATGAAGTTTACACTAAGAAGAAGGTTTCCAGAGTAAGTCTTTAATCTTCAAAAATAAGCATTTGCATTTTATTTTTGTATGTTAAATTATTTATGTATTTAGTGTAATGCAGTTAAGTGTACCAACGACAACCAACCAATTACCCATGCTTATGATACATGTCGATATTTTGACGAGCTAATCGAGGATACATATACATACATATGTATGTATATGTATGTATTTATAAGTGTTAAAAAGGAATAAGAAAGTAATCCACAATTTCATCTAACCTTAATGTAATATTCAAATATGCGCGCTCAAAGAACAATAGTTACTAATAGGTAAGACAAAAGAGGGATAGGAAGTATATCGAAAAATAGTTACTAGACAGTTGAAGAAGATCACTTAAGAAGCGCGGACGTATTATAAGAAAGGTTCTATTATAAAATATAAGTGTTATACAATCTTTAATATTAAAATAAAGTAAGACTGAAGCTTTGCATTTAATATAATATAATATAAAACATTGCCGAACCCGCTGTAATTTTCCTTAATTCAAAAGGGAAAAATTAACAATAAGTTAAAATTCCCGGAGAAATATGGGCCGCCGCATGACTGTGACGCGTTGTGGAAAAATTGTTTTCTCGTAACACGTGCCGTTCCACGTTTGTTTATCAATCGCGCGACACAGGAACGCGATATTTCTTGGAACGCTACTCTTCCCCTCTTTTTCTCTCTTATGTTAGAGCTTTTCTCCTGATAATTGGTTGCCGTTTTTTAAATTAAACAGCAATTGTAACATAAACAGCTTTTTAGAGTCTTCTTGCGACTATTTAATTAAAAATGACTTTTATCAGTCATCTCTCATGCAACTATTGTTGTTAGCAGCGTACAATACATACAATTGTAAAGCTTTGTGTATGAGACCAAACCGTTGACAAATGAATAACGATTAAACAACGATTAAACAACGATTAAAACTTCAAGCGACTTTTCATTATTTTTTGATATCTTAAAGCATTTAAACAAATATTAACACATGCATATACCTCCTACTTTACATTTCTTTCATTCGATATTTCAATAAAATGAAATTTGATGAAAAGATGATCGAATTTATAAATAGAATTTGGTAGAAATCAACATACATATCTACTCGATTAGAGCATAAAGCGATAAGCCAAGTGTAGTTCATGCGGCGAGGTAAAATATCATAAACATATATGTACATATGTATTTACATATGCTGTATGCAGAGCTGTTTTATTTGTTGATCACTCGTTTGCTCGATCACGTGCAGCTGCGCGAGTCGCGTCGCGTTCAAAGTACACAACACTCGCTCAAAGTACAACATACTACTACTTGGATACTCGAAGCAAATGTTTCTCTTTCCTTTTTTATATTGAAATATAGGCTAGTAGTTCCTACCTTGCTCTTAATTTCGATTTTGGAGAAAAGTTCTATATTCAACTGTAATATTCAAATTCTCAAAAAGATGGAGTTTATCTTTTCTTCGAGATACCGATCGATCACTATTTCTTCATCGTTCTTTTCCTCTATGTTGCAATTTCTGTCTTTCAGTACAAATCGTTTCAAAGTACCTCAAGAACGTGACGTGCCGTATTTGAGAGATGCTGCAAACATGGTAGATAATTATATGAATTGTTCGATTAATGATAGATAAAGAGAAAATGATAATCGTTAATAAAACAAACACTACTCGCGCGAATAAGAGTATTCAATTTTCTAATCTCAATTGGAGAGAAATTGATGGATCGATTATTGGTTAAAGATATCCGCTGACGATAATATTACATTTTGATTTCGTTTAAACAATTATCACCGACTTGTATGAAGAAAGATTTATGATTCGTTTAATCTCCAAACTCGGTGTCGTACTCATTTTCTTTTCTTTCATATAACTTTCTCTTGTGGGTTTACTCTTTTATACGAAATTATAAAAAGATGACATTGAATGAAATAGCCCTCTATAGCCCTCTGGTATTTCAAATATCAGTAGTGTACTCTATATATAATTATGTGGAAGGGAAACAAGTGGCAATAACAATTGTCGGCGAGCCGTCTTATCGAAATAAAACGAAGAGGAAACCTAGGTTTTATCTACCACTTGCGTAATACTCGGCGATTGGATGTTGCGTAATGAACCGCTTAATCCTTCGCTGATTGATCGTCCAATACAACCACCTATAAGCAACAATATTACACGCGGATATAGCGAATCCTTTCCAGTTGTTCTCCTTTCGATGACGCAAACTTGATTGGACTGTTTCTAATAGAGGTGTTTTCTAATTGCACGCATTTATTGCATTTATTATTTCCCTAGAAAAAAAAAAGAAGAAATATGTGTGTATATACATATGTACAATATGTCTATAAAACAGCCTGTAACTATAAAGTTTGGCAGTCGATGAAATTAAATGAAAAATACCCATAGAATTTACTCCCACTAGGAGGTATTTCTAAACTAGATTGGTCAAGGTGGTACGTGCGAGTTATAAGTACGAGTTAAGTGCGAGGTAAAGCAGCAGGCGTGTTTCGTGACACGAAAGCAATTCTGTGCCGGATCGATTAATCGACGGTGGGAATACCTGGTTGCTTTCTCGGTCATGGCTGTGACTCAGGATCACGTTATGTGGTCACTCTTCTACTAGATCTGCTGTGTCAATTGAGAGGCAAGGTTCAATATAAAATAGACACTTTTTGTACACACGTGCGTAAGCACGACAAAATAACTTTTTATTTATTTTAGTTCTTATTGTTCAAATAAAAACGATTTTATGACAGATTTGAAGGTAGACATTTTTCCTTAAAATTTTATAATGGTTAGAAAAAATAATTTAATGAATGTACAATTAGCATCAATTGATCCTTCTCGAGAATGAATAAAATTGAAACGCGAAGGAAGAATATAGACCGACGATGGTCAGATTTTTCATGGTCACCATCTTCGTTCGATTTGTCTATCTTTTTCGGCGCGTATCGTGACACGTGGACGTGTTTCAAGATAATTCGTGTCACGAGTGTCCGTTTCTTTCCTTCGACTCTTTTAGTAAGACCTCGCTATCCGAACAATTTCGAAAGTCGTTCGACATTTTTGTCGTTGTCGTCGTCGTCGTCGTCGTCGTTGCTTGCTTGCTTGCTCGCTTTTGCTTGCCTGCCTGCCTGCCTGCCTGCCTGCCTGCCTGTATTTTCTATCATTCCTTGAAATCTACCAATGTTTACAGCTGACGTGATCGGAAAGCCTTTTCTTTCTCTTTTGAATTACCATTTATTGGTTAGCCATCCTTTTTTATTAAATTTAACAGTCATTTTGATCAACTTTATTGTCAGGATTAAATCATCTCTTGTTGAAGAATTGTTCTTTGAATATTGGAATTAACCAATATTCTTTTGTTTTCCAATAAAAAGGAGGATGAACAATTTTAAAGGATAAATTGAATTGATTAGCGAGAGATAAATGGAGAGATCACAAAAATAAGATTAAATCGCAGCTAACAGTTATTTGGTATTTCCCGCGTGCTATCGTTTTTTCTTTGTTTCAATTTTATTCCGTGTACAACGATAAATGCGAACAATTCTCGTCGATAAATGACTGTTATGAGAAATACGATAAATATTAAAAAAATAAGAACTAAAGTTCTTCTAATATACATATAACTATCGTCTAATACAATATTCCATCGTTTTGACCTACCTAAATATTAATTAATGACGATAACACACTCAATTACGATTGTTTTTCATGAATGTCTTATTAGAAAATCTAATCCTCTTGTTATTGTAAACATAGAGAACTGGATTGAACGAGTTGGATTTAAGCAGAAGAAAAGTTGACAGGTCAGATGGCACGAATTTTATTAAGAGACAAGTGTAGAAACACACACACACACACACACACAAACGCGCGTTCACATTTATCAATTTCCACGCTTTATCAATTCCCCCTCTCTCTTTCTCTCTCTCTCTCTCTCTCTCTCTCTCTCTCTCTCGCTCGCTCGCTCTCTGACTCTTTATTTAAGATTTTTAAATTCTTCTTATCAGAGTCTACAAGGGGGATCTCATTTTCTTGCGTCACGTGCCACGAATCGAGATTTATTGGCACAAGCCGACGCGTCACGAGAGCTTGATTCGACGACTCACGATTATTTCCAGTTTTCAACAAATAAAAGAGCTACTGGATATCAATTTGGACTTCGCGCAGTGCTATATTAGTATCTTCGAAAACGGTCTCTCTCTTCTTTGGTCGGATCGAATCGTCTTTAGTCAGATTTTACATTTTTTCTTATTTCATTTTCTTAAGTTTTTGGCTTATTTATATTCTATGATATATATCGATAATATGTTAAATTATTTTGTCTTTAGTTTCTATTTAATAAAATAATTTTCTCGATCGAGTGTTATTCTTTTCTTGGTTCTCATAATAAATAGAATATGCATGTATAATGCATGTGTTCGTATTTAAAAGGTAGACTGTTTCTCGAGTGCTTTTTATAGTCGCTCTTGTCATATATATATATATCCTTGCTATATACTTTTTGCTCCCTGTCGTGGTCGTTTTGTCATTCGACGAAAATAATATATTCCCACTTATTGCATCAAGAACGGTAAACAACACAGCACGTGTTTACTCGTCCGATGCGTGTTCTTGGGATGGATCGTGCATCTTGAATATCGTCGCTAAAATGAATTGCATAGCAGGCTTATCAACGCGATTCATATATACTTTTTTTCATTGACGACTTTTACGAACGTCAAACGTAATATGAAAACTAATTCGATATTACACACGTATTCTATAAAAACAGATATTGTCGAAAAACTTTGATCTCGTTTTATACTTGCCAACCCTTTGTTACCTCTTATTACTTTTTCGTCGATGCAAATGATGATTACAAATAGACGAGTCACCGATAGGCTATTTTTTCGTTGGATCATTCGTGAATCAGACATTTGCGTCAGGGTTGCGTTGATTTTTTTCTATCTTCTAACGCGTCATCGAGTTGTTTGGAATATATTTAAACGGCGAGGCCGGTCCAGCTGTCGCGGATAACAGCTGTCGTCTCACCTCTTTCTAGTATGAATTTCAAATGAAATTCATTTCGACTAACTAACTAACTTGCTTGGAGAATCTGTCGAACTTGTCGAACTTTTTACAAAACACTTGGTTGCTCCTTTCATTTTTTCTCTATTTTTCTCTTTGTTCGTCTCGCCTTAATTACGCTGTTGTTATTTCTGTAAATGTGTTCGAAATCCGGTGACGTCTAGTTATCGTTTGAAAAACAGCGAGATCTACTCTTTCTTGATAAACTCTGATCATAATACGAGAACATCTTCTTGGACTGGTTATAACCGGGCAATGTGATATCTCGACCTCGTTAAAGCGGTTTCCATACTCGTCCGATTTTTAATTTTTTTTTTTTTTCATCTTTCTCTTGCATCAACAGAATTGTCTTTTTCTTTCGGGGAGTATTTGAGGTCAAAGCGCGGTTCGTAACGTTGACTCGTCGTTCTATTCTATATCTATATTATCATATATAGATGAAACTGTTCGTTTTCATTATCTACTGCATTCGATGCTTTACCAAGAAATTAATCTAATAACCCCGAATATTGGAGATACTCGATTTGGAGATTTTCGATTGCTATTTCGATTGCGATTTGTATGTATATATACGTATTTTGCGAGAGTAAGAAAAAATCTCTTGATTTGCGAAAAATCATTTTAAATATTATCAGGAAATGATGTGGTTATTATAAGCCACATTTTCAAGTTATTTCATTAGATTCATCAAAATATCAATTCGCAAAATATATCTTTTTTTTTGCTTCTTTCCTCGCTGGTAGTATATAAAAAAAAAAAAAGCTCGGTTATATCCAGTTCATCCCGCTTATCTAACGAAACTTCGATGACCTCTTCTCTTTGATAGAGAAAAAATATTGACGGTGTTTATACAAAGTATACATACGTACATAACTATGTATTTATATGTATGTACTTATGCAATACATTCTCGGACGTACGAAATTACGTAGAATAAGGAAAAATAGGGTAAAATGGAGAGAAATCTATTTCTATTACTATTCGAAAAAATCCTTAAACGCGGTTTAGATGTTGAAAGTTTGAAGTATCTGATGTTTTTGTCGATCGGCTTTTATATTTCTAGTCAATTATTACGAAATCGGGACAAAATGAATGTGAGAAGACTTTCGGAAAAAGGTCAGAACGAACGGGCGCGCCGTTGATAGGCGACCGAAAGTTTTGACTAACCATAAGTCGTCGTACTTGGTATGTACGTTCCTCGCTTCGCGATCGCATACCAAGTTTATGTACATAGGTAATCATATATTAGCTTAGCTAGTAGAGATGAATGTGTGTACGTATGTACGTATGTACGTGCACATTTATAAATACATAGATATTGCAGATTGTGTAGGTATATGCGTAGATTAAAGGATAGGTTCGTTGGCTCACGTGTTGGGCGTAGTGCATGGCGTTTCCAACACGTGACGTCGGTTTCTCGTCATCACCGAGCGACATCTCCGTCCACTGCTAAAGTAACAAGAGTCTCGAGGCCGATGGAACGTAGTCGCTCTCCTGCCATTCGTAAAGGAGGACGGGTTCTCTCTGATATACTAAACAATAAGACTCTTCACATATTATTTGCGTAGTGCTAATAATATTTATCTATCGCCCTTATCCCTCTACTACCCCGCTACTCGACGATTTCAAAATATTTCATTACTCCTGACATTGTGGTCATTGTGGTCAGTGTGTTCAGTGTGGTTATTGTGGTGTATTAGTGCTTACTTATCAAATTATGTGTTAATTATTGTTACATTAAGTGTTAGGATATAAAGAATACAATTATTGCGTCCTGCGACTTTTTTTTTTTCTTTTTTTCTTTCAATCTGTCAATCTGTCATCTTATCGCGGAAACGCACAATGGTCACACATAGTATGGATAATATTTTAAATATGCAATACTATCCGATGACTAATCACGTCGACGCGTCGGTACATTCGCCACCGCCAAGGAAAAGACGTTGCTTGAACAAAGAGGTAAAGTTGACATAAAAGTTGACATAAAAGTTGACATAAAAGTTGATATAAAAGGAAAAACAAATTTGTTATGCGTCCGTACTCGCGGGTAATTCGGACACGAGAAGAAACGATTCATTTTGGCGCCCCGCGTCGGATATACCACCGAAAATGTTCCAAGGTTGGACACACGCCAAAGATATCTATTCCATTCAATTATTTACTGATAAATAATAATATATAGCACATTAGCTAGTATCGACGGACTAGGATTTATTTGCTACTTGCGAATCAACTAGTCTCAGAAAGATTTGATAGATGTATAGTATACGTAATAGTATTTGCGTGTTCAACTACTAAATGTGATAAATGTGATCGTTTTGTCTTTACAGCAAGATCCAATGTCGCATAGGATCATCGAGAAGCGTAGAAGAGATCGCATGAACAATTGTCTCGCCGATCTCAGCAGGTTGATTCCCGCGGAATACTTGAAGAAGGGTCGCGGCAGAGTGGAAAAAACCGAAATCATCGAGATGGCCATACGTCATATGAAACACCTGCAAGGTCTTCGACAAGGTTTTTGCACTTTATTTGCCACCTACGTTGTGCTACCCTATTCTCGTCATCTTTTTCGCGAGCAAATGAGAAACTGACGTATGGTTTTACTTGGTTTATTATTTAGAGACGAAGCACGCGAGCGTGACACCTGTGCACGCACACCCCGAAGACAGCGTTGACAGCATTTCTCATTCGACTGCGGCCTCAACCGCGGCCGAGCACTACAGGCTGGGATTTCAAGAGTGCCTCAGCGAAACGATGCACTTTCTTATCGAGGTCGAGGGCTTCTACGCAAGGGATTCTCTTTGCGTGCAGTTGACCAATCATTTGCAGCAACATTGCGAGAAGATCTTGGCCACGAGTGCGTATGTCTATCCTCTATAATTTATAAATCTACATTGCTTTTTTATATTTCAAATAAATGTCTTATTTTAGGTGACAGGCTGGGCTTTCCGCAACACGAAATGCTGCCAATGTCGACCGGCGGTGGTGGCGTTGGCGTTGGCGGCGGTAGCGGTGGCGGTGGCGGTGGCGGTGGCTGTGGCGGTGGCGGAAGTACAAACGTTACGAGTTACGATCATGCGAGCATACCGATGATATGTCAGCCTACCGTTCACTCCGATCACGGTTCGAGTTCGGGCGTGAGTTCCTTTGGCGATTCGGATCGTCCTCCGCGTCCTATTGGCGGTTCCGGTGTTTGTTGTAGCTCTGGCATCATCATATCACCGCCCACGATCGTCAGCGACGACAGTAACCACAGCAGCCATTCTCACAGTACACCTCTTAGCGCGAGTAATAACTATCGTCCTCAGAATTATAAGTTTAAAAGCTCGATCAAACAGAGGTTTTCCGCCGAGAGGATCAAGTCGAGTCCTTCTCCGTGTGCTAGCCCTGAAAAACAAACTAATTCCTCTCATGGCGTGCCAATTTTTGCTCTTCACGATGGTGGTGCTTTTTATGTTCCTCTCACTGTCGAGGCTTCCATACTAAGTCCTCACTTTGGACTTATTCCGGATAACGGACCGGACACTGTCCTTCATCCAGTCACCATATCCGTCAATTTTAATCAACAACATTCGATGTCGCCGCAGTCAGCGGCTAGTCCAATCTCGATAACTACCATGACGACGATGACAACGACGACGACGATGACGTCGACTACGACGACGGCGACGATGGCGACTACAACGACAACAGCGACGTCGATGACGTCGACGACGACCACGGCGACGGCGGCGGCGGCGGCGGCGGCGGCGGCGACGACAACGGCGACGGCGATAACAATGTGCAACACCGTAAATGGAGCCGTACCCTGGTCCTTGCAACATAGTCCGATATATCAAACGTAAAAGTTTAGAAAAGATCTAGAAGGTTCTGAAAAATATCGAAATATTTGAATTTAAAACTTTTTTTCTTTGTACGATTAGACCTATCGCTTTGCTATCTTTTCTGGATTCGCGAACGATTCGCTCGAAAAATATTGTCCATTCGATAAACATTCCGGAATATTTGCGAAGCGTACCTTTTCTCTTATCGAATGTTCTTTTATGAAACACAAAAGAACGCATCCGCGACGACAAATGTTGTCGGCACAATATTGAATGCAATATTATGTACCTACTATATATATATATATATATTTTTTTTTAAGTACGATATGACAGGACTCCATTTATGGAACAGAGTTACTCGTCTTAATGGTGATATTCCTATATTTAGGAATAATATATCTTATAATGAGAACATTTATACCTCCGCATTTTGCGATTAAATCATTTTAGTTCCACTTTATTTCGATAGAACGTTTTTCATAGTTCTAGTATTGCACAAAAGTATTGCATTTTATCATGTATATTTATATTGAAGGCAAATTTATTTATTCGTGAAAATAAATTTGTTATATTTTTACGGATATAAGTATATATACTACGTTTCAACGAATGGAGTCCTCTTTATTATTAACGTTACTGTTATTGTTACTATAATAATAATAATAATAATAATATTAATAATAGTAATAATAATAATATTAATAATATTAATAATAACAATAATAATAACAATAATAATAATTATTAAGACTATTGTTATTATTCTAACGATTACTGTTAATAGAGGAGATTTTGTTTAATTACCGAGGCTGTGGGTTGCTTTAGCATTTACAATCGTTCGAAAGAACAAACGATTAAAAGTAGACAAAAAAATATGTTTGAATATTACGAAGAGAAGCTTCAGCTCGCACTTTTGTTTCGGTGTGTTTTTTCTCTCGTCTTGTCACTCTTATTCCTTCCTATTCTTCTTTTTCATTCTTTTTGGAAGAAGTTTCGTAAATCGTAAAGATCAAGCACGATGTTAGATCGGTTTATGATCATTAAATTGTTCGGCGAGTGCTTCTTGTATCGCTCTTTTATTAATTCTTCATTCATTCTTTGTTCTTTATTATTCACATTGTTTGTTCGCTTCTTCTTTAGATCTTTAATCTTTCCCTCTTTGTTCATTTTTTTTTTTTAACAAGATGCGACTTCCATATACACATTATCCAGCGAAAATAAAGAGCGCTTCGTAATTCGTAATTTTCTTCTTTTGTATAACGAAGTACTACGAAGAAACTAAAAGAAATTATTTTACTTTCGCCGCGACCGTTCATAGATCGCGTTAATAATTAATGATCATTTGCCAAACAGCATTTGTCAACAGGCTCGAACGTTATATGTTAAAACTGTCAAATAGTTCAAATGAGTTTGTCCGAAAGTGCCTATACGAAGACGCCAACACACTTTAAATTACACATCAACAACGTATACGTGTCGTCGAGTTTGAATCATAAAATGAACTCATGTCACGTTCGATAGCGAGATAATTTAATCTGCTAAATGTTTCGTGAAACAGGTCTCAGCGATTAAAGACTGACAGAGAGACCTATATTACATTGAATTCATTGTAAGATCGACTTGTTGCATCAAATATATTTGTAAATATTATGTTTAGTTGTAACTTTATCAAAGAATTTATTGCGAAATAAATTATCATAAATTGATTATATATATACATGTATATATGCCATATGTAAATGATAGTTTGTATTCTTACCCATGTATTATAATACTTATCGTATAACATTAGCAATATATTGTTGTTATCCAGTCTATAGAAATGACAAGAAAAAAGACGATTTGCGATATGCAATTAAATTTTGTTTTTATTACATCAACATAATATCTGGCTAAGGGGCAAAACAATTATAGAACGCGTCTATGAGAATATAGAAATAGATAGGGAATGACGAAGAATGGAATAGAGCAGTGAAGGAATGCAGAATTCACCGGTAATACCAACGGCGATGGATAACGGCAAGGAGACCCGCACTTTTTTAATCCAACTTTGCCGCTTTTCCTCTTGTTGCGAATCACGAGAGAGAAATATTAAGAGATAAGTTGATAGTCGAAAGAGATGATCCTATATCAATGATATATTATAGATATTCTTATATAAGTAGTCAAATGAATTGCAACATGAGGCAACCAATTTGTTTTTCAAACAAATCAACCTTAACGAATAAAACAAAATGGAATAATATGGGAATGCGAGGCAGCACGCGCTTTTGGTTTATAGGTTAAAGTCTTTCTTTGCAATTGGTGCACGTTGTTAGAGACAAATGAAGAGGCAAATAGAGAAAAAGATCAAATATTGTAGTTGTCATCTGGTTATCAAAGTTGCACGCTATCTTTGCGTAATGCAAAGTTCTTGTTGGACTAACCAGTCGAGTGGCACGCTGCCTCGTACGACGTAGGGCGTCGTGGAATAATGCGTCGAGTAATGCGTCGAGTAATGCGTCATATAACGACGCATCCCGCCTGTCTTTTTGTTCTTTCATCAATATATTAATTGAAAACCTAACTACTACTACACAGAGTCCAAGGAAACCGAGTAAATGGACACATATCGTCGATGTAATAATGAAGTATTATATAAACGCAATTAACCCTAGCATATGTGAGGGGTGCGCGGGGTATATGTAAATTGTATGTGCAGGTTCGGATAGATGCGTGGATTCAATACTACTGGATAATGTAATGGGGGTAAGCACAACATCTTTTCACTTTTGATATTAATCGAGTGAGGAACGAACATAGGAGCAGCAGCGGCGGCGGCGGCGGCAGCAGCAGCAGCGATTTGTGCCTTGTTTGAATAAAATACCCTAGCGGTGGTGGTATCGATGGAACAATCAGCCAACTTGAAACTTCCGAGGAAGTTTGATGGTTACTTTTTCTTTTGGGCCTTCTCCGCGGCCTTTGTAACTTTGCCCTGTGTATCTTTGAAATTGACGCTCTGCAAAGAAATATATAATAAGATAAGGAATTTGATTGCAATCGAAAAAAAAAAGTAAATATTATTTGTGCCTCCTCCTAATTGTTATTGTTGTTGTTGTTGTTGTTGTTGTTGTACCTTAATAACGCCCACGGCAACTGTCTGACGCATATCGCGAACAGCGAAACGGCCAAGAGGCGGGAACTCTTGGAATGCCTCAACGCACATTGGCTTGGTCGGCTGCAACATCACGATGGCTGCGTCCCCGCTTTTTATACTCTTTGGATTTTCTTCGGTGATTTTACCGGTACGGCGGTCGCATTTCTGCTTTATCTCGGCAAATTTGCAGGCGATATGAGCGGTATGGCAGTCGAGGACGGGCGTGTAACCATTGCTGATCTGTCCGGGATGATTAAGAACGATGACCTGAGCGGTGAAGTCGGCTGCCCCGCGAGGTGGCTGATTTTTCGAGTCCCCGGCAACGTAGCCGCGCCTCAACTCCTTCACCGAAATATTCTTCACGTTGAAACCAACGTTGTCGCCTGGCAATGCCTCCATCAAGGCCTCGTGATGCATCTCGACGGATTTGACTTCGGTGGTAAGTGCAGCCGGAGCGAAGGTCACCAACATCCCTGTTGAAAGAAGATTGTTTATCCATGATAAAGCAAACTAAAAGGTAAAATATGAGGTGAGATGGTGGAGGATAACCAACGCACCTGGTTTGAGGATGCCTGTCTCGACGCGACCAACGGGAACGGTGCCGATACCACCGATTTTGTAGACGTCCTGAAGAGGCAAACGAAGTGCTTTGTCTGTTGGTCTCGATGGCGGTAAGATTGCGTCGAGTGCTTCGATCAGAGTTTTGCCTTCGGCGTTGCCGTCCTTACGTTCGACTTTCCAGCCTTTGTACCAGAGGGTTTTCGGAGACGATTCGAGCATGTTGTCACCGTGCCAGCCAGAAATTGGAACGAATGCTACCGACGCCGTATTATAACCGATCTTCTTGATATAGGACGACACCTCCTTTTTAATTTCTTCGAATCGACTCTCCGAGTACGGTGGATCGGTCATGTCCATTTTATTTACGCCGACGATCAGTTGTTTTACGCCGAGAGTGAACGCGAGCAAGGCATGCTCGCGGGTCTGACCGTTCTTTGAAATTCCAGCTTCGAATTCACCGATACCAGCGGCTACTATAAGGACCGCGCAATCGGCCTGACTCGTACCGGTTATCATGTTTTTTATGAAATCACGATGACCTGGGGCATCGATGATTGTCACGTAATATTTGGCCGTTTCGAATTTCCAAAGGGCAATGTCGATGGTAATGCCTCGCTCGCGCTCGGCTTTCAGCTTGTCCAAAACCCATGCGTACTTAAACGAGCCCTTACCCATCTCTTGGGCCTCTTTTTCGAATTTTTCGATCGTACGCTTATCGATACCACCGCATTTGTAAATCAAATGACCGGTGGTCGTAGATTTTCCTGAATCTACGTGACCGATTACCACGATATTTATATGGATTTTTTCTTTGCCCATCTCGAAGCTTTACCCAAAACCCTGAAAACAGAAAGCAGCTAATTTATTAAGCTCGTTTAAAGTAGCCTTTACTCAATTCATATCTTCTGTTGTCTCTTTCCTCTGCATGTTTGTCTGCTGCATGTTTGTCTGCTGCATGTTTGTCAGTAGTAACCATCGTCATAAGAAACGTTCGACGTTTATTTATTTTTTCGCTGAGACGGAGAGAAACCTTACCGAATAATCTTCCTTCTTAAATCTTCTTCGGCGTCTTAGGGTATTTTTTAAGATCGAAAAATCGTTATTACAACTTGCTACTTTTTTTTTTTTCAAATATCCATCCGTGTATAGATGTATTTATTCATCTTATTTTCAAGCTATACCATTGCAACATGTTGCGCAACAATTTTACAACGCGTTGGAATAATCTAACGATGAGGTTTATAGGGAAACAGAGGTATTTTAATAGAAAAAATAAGAACGATCGATCGTCCTTAACCTATCACAACAACTGATAATAAAATGTTATCTTTCATTGGAATAGCATATAAAAGAAATTGACTAAGTTTTGTAGAAACTTCATTCTAATCTTGTTTATAATAAATACAAAGAGAAAGGGTTTGACTAGATGACAAAATTCTTATATTTTTGGTTGTTCGCGGTGAAAATGCACTATCGTTTGAGAGATTTTCCGCGTTGTGTTGCTTGTCCGATGTTAAAAAGAGAGGGAGAGGGAGAAGCTTAAGGGCGGATTCGTAGGTCGCGACGCTATGCGACGTGACGCTACGCGACGTGACGCTACGCGACGCGACGCGACGCGACGCGACGCGGCGCTCGAATCAATATGTCCTACTACCGTTTATTTTGACCAAGAACCGGTCTTATTTTGCTTTCTCTACTCTCTTCTTTCTTTTACCCTCTCCATGTTTAGGTATACATATCGATTTGATACAATCTTTTGTATATAGTTTATCTTTATACTACATGACTAATTACGCAATATATGATCTTTTTGTAATTTTTTGTAATTTTTTGTAATTTTTTGTCATTTTTTGTAATAAATGTCATGAAAAAGGCGTCGTTGGTCAGGGGCATCATCATCATCACACATAACAGAAACAGATCAAATCGATTTGCAAAGAAAGAGAGAGTTTAGCGTTAGATCGTGCGTTTTGCAAACAACAGAGGATAAGGGATTGCGTTTACTCACCGGCTCTAGTAGTGTCGCGAAAATAAATAAAAAAGCGAAGAAGAAATGCAGTTTGCGCGTACTTCTCGTGGTCCGTTCCGTGATATGTTGCGCGGGTGAAAACACGGTAAACGACGACGAAGAGAGGGTGCAGCATACGAACGACCTCTATTCGCGCGGCTTGCAAAACGCAGCGAAGCTCGCGCAAGCGCCAAGTTTCTTCGAGCTTGCGCTTCAGATCGTATTTATCTTATATAGTATCTATATATATTTCACTCTTTCTCTTATTCTCTTTTCATCCCGCACTATCGAATTAACTATGGAGATTTTCTTTGAACGCGAGAGAGCTTTCAATGCATTTTTTTCTTTTTTTCATATCTCTCTTAATGAAAGATCTTGAGACACATTTTGTATTTGTATGTTCATGCACACAGGCGGGGATACATGCACATGCACACTCATTGTTATAAAATTGTTTCAAATATAGATTTGTGAAAAATTACTTGAATCTTTTTGCATTATTACATACATGCATGTAAATAGAAAATTGGACTCTCCTAAAGTATATTTGTATGTTAAGTTTTCGTAAGTCACTTGTGGTCATTTGGTGACCACGTGCTCGATGCAGTCAATCGAAAATAGAAGCCCATCGTCATAGCAAAGTCATCGCTTGCTGCTTCACTTTGTGTTGTTATTAGCTCGATATCGAAATTATTATTGTATTACTAAGACCAAGTTTCAAATTTAGTTATATTTGCGAGAATGGACAACGATTCCGATTCATCCGAGGTCAGTAGATTCTATATAGCTTCTCTATAGCTCTAGAACTCCCAGAACACGTTATGTTCTCTCTGTAATTTTTTTTTTTTTAATGATTTTGTAGTAGTCTATAGTATTATATTGGCAAAACGCAAAAACTGTCGACGTTTAAAACAAGTTTGTTTTCCTAAATTGTAGAATTAGTCTTCGGCTGAGATTTGGTATCGTTAAATGTGTCGTACAACGAGCGTACATGTACGCGTACAACGAGCTAAATAAGCAAAATACCTTTTATTTTTGATAAATCGTTTATTTTTTCAAGCAAACGGATGTCGATGAAGCGAAGAGGGGCTGGGGAATAGAGGAATGATTTTTGATTCGAAAGATAAACGATTAGTAAACTTGGAATCCGAAAGTGTGACGCACGTGGCCAAAAATAATAACTCTGAGCGAAAATCATTTTTAGTGGCGATTTCCGGGTCCGTTTTCGAGCTAAGATGAATGAATCTTTCGAACGATTTTCTTTGATATATCGACGATATTATTTAAAAAAAAAAAAAAAAAAAAATGAAAACTAGTAGAGTAGGTACCGAGAATTTCTAGACCGCCTAAACACCGCCAAGACCTATTCAATTTTTCATTTTTTATTTTTCCAATTCTCCTCAGGTTAGATATTTTTAGTCGATTTACGGAAATGCCGGGTCTTCCGAATAAATCCTTCGCTGACGCGTCTCACAAATTTATTCTCGCATCTACGCTTTTCACACGCAATGACTCGTCCGAGTTGCGGGAAATTTATGAGGGGCCACTCATGAATTATGCTGCGATTTCGTGCATATTCCATTGGAACGTCCGAGCACATATACATACGTTTCTAGCGAAAAACGGAAAATCTTGTTTCATCTGAAAAACTAATTTGTGAATATACGAGAAGATACGAGATTGTAGCGTACAAAAAATCGTCTTTATATCATTTCAGACGTGAGAGCTAAGCTCCTACGCGTCCTTAAAAACGGAAGCGATGTCCAGTCGATTATCGAAATAGTTGACTACTTTTTTCAATCTTGACCTTGATGAGGCGCCACACGTCGTCCTTGTCTCCAATCGAAGAGCGTATCTTTGCTTATTTATACCACCTCCCTTGGAAACGTTCAACGACACAGAAGGTTCGTGGAGTTTACTTCTGTGATTAAATTGGTGATTCAATTGGACGAAGCTTCATGAAAGATTAATAATTATCTATGTTTATAAAAGAAAACAGTTGAAAATACAAGATTATAGAAATGAAGTTATTAATTATTTATGTCCATTTGATGAACGATTTACAGGCGCGTGCTGTAAATTCCGGTAGGAAGGTTTACGTCGCCCTCGACTTTAGATTCTAAATTTATGCAGAGTTCATTAATGTGCATTAAGAGAATTACGTCTAATACTAATCTAATTTCCGTGATACATATTACGCCATCGTTGTTTATACAAACAGCTGTTCATTGAGATATGTTAGCACACGAGTGAAACAACGAATGAATTTGAAAGCGAGTATTGTGTCATAGACTTGCGAACGAATGAACCAAGTACCGCTCGAGAATTATTTATAGTTAGCCCAGTTAGCTCGAAGTTGACCTCTGATCCCGTGCCTTGCTTGCATTTGGTTAGCTTCGTTACTTCTTTCGGTACCAAATAATGGCATGAAAGCCAACGACTCTAACAGCTTTTTTTTTTTTATGGAGTTTCTCTTTGTTAACTTTAACGACGTTTACGAGGACGGATAAATTTAATCCATAAGATGAATGTTGCACCTATCGCTATTCACGCGATTAAACGATCTAAACGATATCGAGAATATCAGTGAATTTGAAAATTCATTCTTCAGAAAGAATCCCAATACTAATATAGTCGAGGAGAATGAATCGGTTTATTGAAAAATCATGCTTGGAGCGTAAACATCGGATAAATTTAGATACTTATTGTTAGATCATTCGTGATATCTACCTACGCGTCAAAGACGACTCACAGTCCTACGTATCCCAAGAATTTACATTTACTATTATAGTGAGAAAGCATCATCGTACCGTCACGTCACGGTCGCTGACGTAGATGTTCATTGATGCCGAGACGACGTAAAACAGATATCTTATTTCGTGTTTCCGGCCGAATGTTTGCATTTTCAGATTTCCAAAACAATTTCTAAATCGCATCTCTAGACTATCCGAATTGATTGTAGCAAATTGTAAATTTGTCAATGAGCATGACAATGAGTCGTTGTCGTTGTCGTTGTCGTTGTCGTTGTCGTCAATTCGATGTCGTCAATTCGATGCAATTACGTGAAATATGCACATGCTTGAAATGCATCAATATCGCATTTACATTCGCATCTAGCAAGAGAGATTTATCCAAATAAAGTCTTTCGTTTCCTTCCTTTTCATTACGTACTCTCTAATTTGGAACATTTTCACGCGACAGAAGCGTGTTCCTCGGAGAAATTCAAAGAGCGTTTTGGCACTATCGAATAGAATGAAAGTATATCACAATAATTTCTAGTGGCATTTTGATGGCTTGGATTAAGTTTTACTTTTGCCAGAGTTAATTTATCGCCCTACGAAGTAAAGATTTAAACTCACGCGAATTTAAAGTGTAAGTAAGTAAGGTAAGAGGGTGGGGGTTTGAAACACCAATAAATTACATAATTGCGCAAATATGATGCACGACCATTTCGAGCAGCATCTTTTTTAGGCAAATAGATATCTACCTCCATACTTGAAAATTCTACAAGTATGAATGTTTCGATACGTGCTGGATAAGCAGAGAAAAAGTATTCACTAGGTTGTATAGACGTTTTACGTGTAAGGAAATAAAAGACATAATAATAAGACTAATAATAAAAATCTTCTTCTCTTCGAGAGAGAACAGATGAATGAAATTGAAATCTATCGAGCTCGTTTTCCCCGTTCCTGTGAATCGAGGAAATATCATTTCCGGAGATGGAGGATCGGCTGGCAGCCAATCAAAAAGCAAGGATTCCCTACGAAATTGGCTCGAATAAGCAGAAAATATTTGGGCTCGTCCCGCCTTTGGTGGGAGATTTTTGACGTCGGTTCTTTCTTATAAGAAGGACGCAAGACGTCGCGACGACGCATTCATAAGAGAAACGTTACACCGGTCAGCTTACATATTTATGTGCTTAAGTATAATTAAATACGAGAAACGTTAACGATTAAGTGTCGTAGGACATAGGACATATCATATAACATAGTTATCATTTTTCCTGATAACTGAATATTCATAATAATAATTCTCGATAAAATACCAAATCAGTATTAATATTTGATTTATTCCTACGCTTATCTACGGCTTTAATCATGTCTTTGGTAATGTTCGTGAGTATTGTTTTTACACTTACATTCTCGATTCATTCATTTATTTATCAATTGAAAAAACAATATTTCTAATGCAAGTTACAACATTAGTTTTCACATCTCAATATTTGTATCTCACCTTAATAATGTTTCAAATGTGCATAATCGTTAAATAATGGTTAATAAGCGAAAAACCTAAGCGAAAAATCTCGTGCGAATATCACGTGCCTGCCCCGTTCGTATGAATGTAGCAGCAGTCAGCATAGATTCGGAAATTTGTCAGAATGCCATCGAGATGTCTTTTATGGTCACGGCCAATTCGCGGAGCGTTTCTCAAAAAAGATTGGACTTTTTCCAACATTCCGTGCTGATTAAACGCGCTTACGTCGAATGACGTTGTCACTCAATGCTTTTTTTTTTTTTTTTAAGTAAAAACTTGTTTAGAATGAGGGTGATTTAAAAACGGTAAAACGAATGCGAAACTCGGAGAAGAGAATCTTTTCTCGGTCAAATAAATCTCAACGAAGAAGAAGAAGAAGAAGAAGAAGAAGAAGAAAATGATCTATCTTATAGTTTTATGTAGGATTCTATTATTTAGATGATAGTTGATAGATGTAACGTTGATTGAAGCCGTTGATAGATTTTATGCTCAGAAGCCCCTGAAAAAAGCGTAATGACGTAGCATTTTCGCGACAGTACTCGTCATTTCGACCGTTCGTTCAGTCGACTGTTTTTTCTTATCAACTATATGAAAAGATATTATTCTCCTTGGTCTCGCTTACTGATCAAAAACTCTGTTAATTCAAGTGATAAAGCTTTATGTAGGATAACGTATTTTCTAACGAAAAGTTGCTTAATTCATGTTGTGAATTGTGCTTTAGGAATCTTTGGGAGCAAAGGTAGCTATGTTCGACCAGTATGCAAACAAGCACAAAGACGCACAGAGCAAAAATCCATTTACATCTGGCTTGAATATTGAAAAACCTAAATTTTCCAAAGACGAATATGGCAGGTACGAATGGCTGTTAAGGAGATCATTTCTATAATTACGGAAGAAGTTGGTGCTTTACTTTTAAAAAAGAGTTTTGTCTAAGGTTTGTCTTTGTATTTCAGACCAACTGCGGGATCTCTTTCGGATATACGCGGTCGAAAAGCTAACGTACATATTCTTCGAGAAATTTTGGAATTATGCGATGTCATTCATCAAAATGGTACGCCATGTCGTGATCAACCGGACGTCATCGGCATCACGTTTGGCGATCTCTTCAACATTTACACTCATATCAGCGACAAATGCGTTGGTCTTCTTTTAAGAGCCAGAAAACAGGGTATCGTTGAATTTGAGGGGGAATGTCTTTTCCAGGTAAATAAGTTAATGAAACGTTGAAAGTATGATTTCAATAAATCACTCACTATCGAATCTAACATTTTTTGTCTTTTGCATGCGTGTTTTTAGAGAAGGGACGACGATGTGCCAATATTCTTGGTGAAGCCCATTGGTGAAATACGCGAGGACTTTAAAAGACGGATTGAAGAAATCGCTAAAGAAATACCGATCAGTTAATAAATAAGAAATACCGAATGAATGTCTACCGAATGCGATGCTCTTTCATCGATGTCTCTATTGGTGTTTTTCCTGTCAGAGAATTCTCATTCAGTACATTCGTTCGATATACACTATTGTATTTATTGTATTTGTAAAATGATTCGCGACGTGCCAATGGAAAATGTTAATGACCGTGCGTGCGTGAGTGCGATTCGATGTAAATATTACGCGATAAACTCGATTCGTTTAATGTGATATTACGCCTAAATAGATTATTCGAGATGAATGAATTTTGACTAAACTTGCGTAGATGTTTTCGAGAGAGAGAGAGAGAGAGAGAGAGAGAGTGCATGCATGCGTGAAAAGAATGGCAGAGTTTCAAGGTAATTGCATAATTTATAATTGTATATACAGTCACTTTACAATGCACAGTGTACTTTGTTACATAGTGTAGCTTCTTCAGTATTTAGGACAGATAGCGCCAAAAATGGTCGCGTGTTAACGACGGTATCCAAAGTAAAAAAACTAATTAAGACGTGTGCATTCTTGTCCTGTGTAGATTATTCGTGATTGGCGTGAATGTTGTTGTCCACACGAAAATATCTTGCGACGTTTATCCGTTTAAGGAGTCGAACCGCGAACGCATCTTCTGAATTTTCTTCTCTCTTCTTCGATTTTCCCTTTTCAGCCTCTAACGTTGGAAGTACTTAAAAAATTGAAAATCATCCAAGGAACACCATGACCGTGATCAAGAATTGGATTGGCAGTAAGCTTATAAGTTAAGTTAGATCTTTTTTTGTATTGTTCGCACGCTTGCTTGTTCCTGCTCTCGAATCGTTAAACAATCGTTCTCGAACAATCGCTCTCGAACAATCGCTAATGGTACAAAAGATGATCATTCTTTTATCCAGACACGCGATCAAATACATTAGGGCGATATAATCGTTCAATTGTCTTTTTCATTTATTTCGCAACAATATAACTATTCATTTATCATTCGTTGGAATGCGACTCTCGTTATTGGACCATACGATTATACAATAATTTCATTCAATTCGATATGTAAACGATGAAATGTATGGGTAAAGATATGTATGTACTGTTTCAAAGGAAAATACATACACAAGATATGTACATTTTATGTGACGTATCTCAGTAGGTATCCCAATACGCGTATCTCAAAAGAGGGATATGTTTCGAAATTGCTTGATAATTCGTAGCTGGCGTTGATGAGAAGATGGCGTTGATTCATCTTCTCAGGCAATAACGATAAATATGTAAGAAGGATATAATATCGTGCCTTAATTATTAAATTAGTTATCTTATTTCGCCTTGATTACATTTTAGGATAATCGATCGATCTATCGTATAATCGTTCATCATCACAAATCTGCATTAAATCCGTTATGATTATCCGTTAAACCGTTGTAATACATATTATCATCGAACAATTACAGAATACGAGATGATCTCTAATAGACCGATCTTCCGGATAAGAATTATATTTCAATGATAATTCATCATCGATTTTTAATGGTAAAAATGAGTATCGTATCCAACTAATATCGTTGGAAAATTGTCTTTTGCAACTTTTGTATAAATGAAAAATTCGATGAAAAATTCGATGAAAAATTCGATATGTTAAAAAATACATTGTAAATATTGTGTTAATACACAGAAGAAAAATAGAGAGTATCGAACCTTATTTGATATAGAGTTAAAACTTAGGCGTTCGTGCATCGTCAAAGAAGTGAGATGCGCGAGATCAAATTCGTACATTTCCAGAGAGGGAACGAGCCAGATCGTTAACAATCGAAAAAGTATGCGTTCGGCCGCTTACATATTTTTTAATTGATGAGAAAGTAACGACGATTTACAATTATCTTAGGCGTTCTTATTTGTTAGACGCTTTCGTCCCGGAACGGAAGAACACATCGCATCGGCCCGACGCACAAACTAAAACGGCGCGTGCGCATGGAAAGGCTAATTCGTGAAACGCTACACGATTATTATTATTATTATTATTATTATTATTATTATTATTATTATTGTTATTATTATTATTATTATTATTATTATTATTATGATTATGATTATGATTATGATTAGGTCGTTACATTCGTTTAGTTTAAGTATTGTACATCTTTAAACGATCATTGCTTTGTAATCGATAGATCAACGTAGATCGGTTATTTACAGATTTTGCGAAACGTTAGCTGTAGCGCACGCGCATAAGAGATATATACCTTAGTTAATATTTCTTTTGTCTAGCGTTCGTTCGTTCGTTCGTTTCATACGCACACACGCACCCGCACTTGCACACATGTCCTCGCTCGGATCGTTGGATTACACACGTAAGCGGGGTTTTTCATGGGTGGGATCCATTATCGTCTTACATCTGGTAATGCATAAGCGTGTCGTATTCGCTTATCACGTGTGATATCCATCGTAACATGGAATGTAATCTGTATATATATATATATATATTTATAAGTATTTATATATTTATAATACATCTATTTGTTTGCGCATTTTGTAAAAAGCCTCGCCTACCTAAAAACAACAGCGTGTGCTTAACTGTGTTAATGTGTGTCAACGTTTGTACGTGTATACAAGGAATCTATGATCCCTGTCATATTTGTTTTCGCATACATATGGCATACTATGGACATAAATTATAACAGTCCATTAAAATACATTCGTCTATTCTCGAAATTCATATTCATTAAATCTCTCTACCAAACACTCAAACGTAACACCAAATTAATGCCTTTCTCTCTCGCACACATTCTCTTTCTCTCTAGAGTATCTTTCGTCCCAATATTTATTCAGTCTTGGCAATGTTATGTGTTCTTTATTATTATCCTTCTGTTTTAAGTGCATTAGCATAGCTTTATCGTAAATATGTAAAGAGATGGGTATCTCGGCCAAAGGCTCCTTCGTCTATCTTTCCTTACTTTCTGCTTGTTTTATGAGCTCTTATTCTTCCTCGTATAATATCGCGAGCATGCTTACGTACATATACATATAATACTATGCATGTATAATTATCGTATTATCTTAAAAATATATTATTGTCTTTCGATGAAAAAAACGCAGCACTTTTCTTCTCTCTCTTTCTTTCTTTCTTTCTTTCTTTCTTTGTATCTTTGTCTCTATCTCTATTTGTAACGTACGTCGTTTGACAACGACGCGACAATGGCGCGACAACGACGCAATTATTAAGTATGGCAGTCGCGATGTGGGACTTTGGCAGGAATCGTGGTAGTTCGGAGCGAACGATACAAGAATTGGAGAAAGTCGCGGAAAGAAAAATCTCAAAGTTTTTCTCTTTCTCCTTTGTTGATGAGGTTCGTTCGATATCTTCTAGCCAGGTGAAATCCAGACGAACAACTTGGACGAAGGCGATGACAATGATAAAGGAGAAGAAAAGCTACGAATCTTGCGAATCGTCTGATCGTCTCCGTGATTCGTTATCATCATACGTCGTTGTCGTGACAAAAGTCGATCTTTCGTCTAATTAATTGCAATCGACGCTTGTCGATGATAAAGTCCGTGACGCAGCCTTTGATACCACGGTGGCCTGGTTTACCTCCGATGAATAATTTGCCATTGGTCGTAAGTAAAGTTCCGCTCTCCATCGGCATTTTAACCGGGGCAAACTCGTCAATTTGTATTGTCGAGGCGCGTCTTCTTCGACTCGCCCTTATATGGTGAAAAACACCGTCGTCCACTCTTTCCTACGAAAGCAGCAACGATTAAATGTCCAATGCGACATGCGAATGCTTCTTATATTATTTCAAATATTTCACTTACCCTACTCTTCACGGTAATCTGTTCCGTTTTACTCTTGTAAGAGAGAACGACGTAACCCCCGCGCAAAGAAAGTATAAGGTGTTCGAGTTTTCCCCTTCCAATCCAAGCTATTAGACCCTCGGAATGAATGGTCTTCAGTCGCAATTCAAACTTGTTCGATTGTTGCCCTCTGCGTCTGAAATCATTACGAGGAATACGTGCATTTTCGCATATACACCTGTGTAGACATTTTTTTCAACGTAACGACAGCGTAACGACAGCGTAACGATTACATTTCAAGCTGTGTCTTATACACAATAAGTATGTATTTTAGTAAGCAAGTATTATATTTAAGGAAAAGAAGGAGATGTTTTTTGTCGTTAAATAATGAAGATCGATCTTTGATTCTTGCTTTAGATCGAAATTGTGATCGAAATTGTGATCGAAATTGCGATCGGCGGGACTAGAAGGAAGAAGCATTCTCTAACAACACACATACGCGGTACACATTTGTGACAGCAATCAGAAACTTACTCCGTATAATCGTAACTGTCGTACTCGTACTCTCCGACGTCCTCCAAGTCGTAGTCGGAGTAGGACTCTTCGAAATACTCGCCGAGGGTAGTATTAGTTGTGTTAGTACTAGTTGGAGTGTTATATAATCAGAAGATTAGTAATTTCGCTTAAACGGGTTTGTTAAAGCGAACAACTACGCGTTACTAAAGTTGTAGGACTTCGGTGTTCTCATTATGGATTTTTATCTCTCTCTCTCTCTCTCTCTCTCTCTCATTTACTTTCGCTCGATCTCATTTACTTTCGCTCGATCTCATTCACTTTCGCTCGATTTCATTTAGTTTTGCTAAATCTTACCAACTAGCAAATTTTTGTCTAGAAACAAGATTAGTTAGAAAAGCCAAGATCACGTACCTTCTACCAACACGATGTTTAAATTGCAAAAAGTTGTCGCCGTCGAATCGTACCGGTCTCTTGGAATCTTCCGTACTCGAAACGTCGTATCCCATGACTGAAATGAATAGAATCTTTAGGATTTTAGTTATTCGTGGTGAACTGCGTTCACGCGGTCAAAACTTACAAAACTCGCAGTGCAATCCGTTGTAGCCGGTAGCGCATTTGCAAAGGTAGCTATTCAACAAGGGAAGGCAAACGCCACCGTTGTGACAAGGATTCTCGTTGCTCGGGCACGGTAATCCGTCGTAGATCTCTGTGTTGTGTTGCGTTACGTTTACGGCAAGATTTTGATAAGTCTTGCCGTTTACCATCAGCCTTTGTACGGCTCCTGTTAAGCCGGTCCAAGCTCCCGCCAAACGATGTACTTCTCTCCAATGTCTGAAACGACGATGAAAATATGTCGCTTGTAGTGCAAACCATTGTGCAACCCATTGCTTGGGGTTTTAGCGTTTGGTAAAAAAAAGCTTACTTGACACCACCCACATAGAGAGGCATTTCTAGGTTTAATTCTGTGAGAGGACTTCCAGAGAGTCCTCTCGCTACTGTTCCATCGTCCAATTGAAGAACACCTTCCCTTCCGAGTCTGCTTATTCTAACGCAATGCCAATTATCAAGAGTAACGATATCAGGCGATGTAATATTGGCGATACCACTTCCGAGATTGAACCTGAACTCTAATCTACCGTGGACCAAGTTTAAACTGATAAAATCGCCTCTACCGTTGTTTAATTGCCCGTTATATAGTAAAAGGCCGTCGTTGAGGCGAGTTAAGAACCACAGCTCAATGGAAAAAGCTTTGGCGACTCCCTCTAAGCATGGTAATTCGAGAAAACCGTCGCTAGACATTTCCGGTATTAGCAGTTCCGTTAATTCGGCATCCACTGTCAAGCAGCAAATCGATCTCGATTTATAGAAATTATTTATAGAAATATTTTGTAAATGCTATTAAATAGGATGTACTTACGAATTTCGCAATGTACGCCGGTCCTACCGGGAGGACATTTGCAAACGTATCCACCCTGAGGTAATATGTCGCAAGTGGCACCGTGCTGACAGGGTTCGTCGATACACGGATCCAATGATTCCTCGCAATTTCGGCCGGTAAATTGAGGTGGGCAAATGCACTTGTAATCCGGTGGTTCGTACTTTTCTACCGCATAATTTCCACGATCGAAACTTGCCTCGAAATCTATATCGTAGTCGTAATCGCACTTGCTACCGACGCAACGTTTCTTCGAGTTTTTCCTCGATCTTGGTTGATCGATCGAGGCACAATGCGAGCCCTTGCATCTAACTATGCTTACTCCATTCTTATGGCCGTTTTTATGGCCATTCTTATGGCCATTCTTATGGCCGTTCTTCTTATTAATCCTGGACTTGGCCCTCTTTTGTAATCTTCGACATTCTCGGCCATTACAGAGATCCTCCTCGTAGATTGGCTGGCACGTCGCGCCATTTTCGCAAGGAAGATTAGCGCACGCGTTGTCTCCGCATTCCTTTACGCGATAAGTCTCTAAAACGTCCTTGTCTTGTCCAACGTGCAGATCCACGAAGATACGATTGATCTTTAGCTTTCTTATGCATCCGAGAAAACCATGATTGGTGCCGATATTGTCGTAGACTCTGTTCGACGTTAACGAAACATAATATATATTACCTAGATATCGACTCGAATCGGGATTATATAATATTCGACGTAATATTTCGACGATACTCATGCATAGTAATATAATCTCGCTCACTTGGAATAATTGCTCGGCATATTCCCAACGAACGTATCCTGGTTGAGATCCAAGGATTTGAGAACTCCTTGGCTCTGACCAACGATATCCTCGCCATCGTTGAAGATCAGTACTCCATCCTTGTGGTATCTTTTCGCTGCTATTCTATGGAAGGTCTTCATGGTAACTTTCTCTGGTGAAGTGAGAATAACCGGACCATTGCCAAGATTGTATCTAAATTGTACGTGTCTGAAGGAATAGGAAAATAGAGAATTTTATTGACACGAGTATACCTTTATATTAAGCGATAGGAAAAATGGAAATTGGACAAATCTTACCCATCGACGATGGCAAGAGAAACGAAATCACCGGTCCCGTCGCTCTTTTGTTGATTGTAAAGTATAATTCCGTTGTCGGCGTAGGTCTTTAATTCTACCTCGATGCTGAACTTATGATAAGCCTTCAGTCTGCTCATTCTGACGTAGCTCTTACCGTCGAAGGAAGGTACCTCGTAATCTCTCTTGTTTATCTCTTCGTCGCACAGCAGCCCCGTATAATTCGGCCGACAGATGCAGACAAATGTTGCGCTCGGCAGGTCGATGCACGTTGATGTCATGTGGCAAGGATAGGAGAGACAGGCACGAAATTCCTCCGTCGGTGTCACTGGCACGTAATTGGCTGCGATGAAAATGAAGACGCGATCGTTGTCGGTGTATTTCGTGGTCTATTTCGCGGTCTATTTCGCGCTGTATTTCACGCTGTATTTCACGGTGTATCAGGATTATTCAATGGACGAGATTTTTCTTACCGAAACATTCTTGTCGATCACTTGTTTCTGCGTAACCCTCGGAACAGATGCAACCACCGTCGGAACATTCGCTATTGGGAATCGTACAATCCTTATCGTCGGTACAAAGATCACCGAGAAGGGCAGTGACGACCCTAATCGTCGCAGGAGTTGGTCGATATACCGCTGCAACTCCTACGAAATCCAAATTAACGGTTTAATCTATCTATCTAATCTATCAGCTGCAAACTTTAGCGTATTAGTGGAATAGAATTAGCGTTAGATAATATATGTAACTTTGTATGCAAATCTAATGCAAGAATAATAAGGGAAATCTTGTTATTGAACGCGTTCCTTTTCTTCGCGTTAATACACGACACATGTTGGAATCTTATGACAAAGATTAGCTTTGTTTTACCATGCTTAAGGTTATCTCTGTCGATGGTGATGGTTTCTTGATGAGCTCGATGAGTGTAATAGTATCGTGGATCTGGTTCTGGGACCAAAAGATGCCTGGTAGATTTAGATAATGGAGAAATAGCGGCTGCTGGTTGGGTGTATTGCACGGCAGTGTATCTCTTAACGGGAAAGTCCGTGTTCACGAGAGGATCGTCTGAAAGTTTAATGAACATTCGCTTTACTTACTTAGAAATTGATCCTTTCTTGCGAGTTTCACTAAACTAATCTTAAACGTCATATACTAATGAAAGTAGATATACATATATAGATATATTTATCGTATATACTTAGAAACGAATTTAAATGCTTTTTTAATAAAAGTAATTTAAAAGTAAAGTAATGCGAAGGAACGATGTAAAGAATGTTCGTTTTATGCGTTCGATTTGTCCGCGACTATCTATTTGAAATATATATTAAATTGCGGATAACGAAGGACGATGGGCCTGTGTGGTCGCAATAAATATATATATATATATTCACCCTAATTAATCCGTGACTGGAGGGAATTTCATTAAAAGGGATCGTTTGTAGAGCATATTTACATGGTCATTTTTACACGATCGACAATGCGAACAATACTTGGCGCGTTTAATCTCGATTAATTGTCGTCGCCGATGATGTTGACGCTATTGATGTTTCGATAAATTCGTCAAAGTATTCAATGTTAGATGCATCTACATGCGTTATTCCTATTTTGCATCGATCGATTAAAAAAGAAGTAATCCAATTGGAAGGAGAAAAAGAGAAACGCGTGAGTAGTAGTAGTAGTAGTAGTAGTAGTAGTAGTAGTAGTAGTAGTAAACGCTCGTAAGCTTCGATGCATAGCAATTTCTGTAAATAATGACAATCCAAAAGCTAATCTTATCGACTCGTAGACCGTAAGTCAAGCCAGCCGCGAGTAACAAAAGTTGTAACTCGGTGAACGGGATCGAGGGGCAGGAGGTTTGCCTTGATGGGATTTTAATTACTTTCCAATTGCACCGTTGTTTCCTATTATATATCTCCTCCAAGATTTTCGTCAATTTTTTCGATTTTTCCTATTTTTTGTATTTTTTATCATTTATTTAACCAAGCCTCCCCTATCCGCATTTGTACTTTTTCTCTTCGATCGTTCGATAGATTTCAAATATACGTATAGATAAATGTTTGTGGTACGTTGCTCGCAAAATAGACTTTGTATAAATGATTTTTCTCGGTCTCTAATAAATAAGAAAAAACAAGTAGAAACTTTTGCAAAATATAATATGTACTACGTTACGCCTTTCCTTTACTTTCATTCTTCTTTTTCGAAAGCATTTGTTTTTTCAATTTATCTTGCTTGTGCATATTTTTACAAGAACAAAAGGATGCTTACAGTTGACTTTTTCGACGAGAACAAAGAGTTTACAAAAATTCCAGATACTAACGAAAGTGCATTATCGGTGATCAAAGTATATTTTACTCAAAGAATTCTATTCTACTCTAATATCCGTATTTATTCATATTTTTCTCCGTAGCTCTTGTTTTTTTTCTTTTTTTTTCTTTTTCTTTTACTATGCATTCAAAGGACAAAGAATCCGGTCAACAGAGTTTATCGTTTATAGGATGTATTTCTGTTTCTTTATTCTTGCTTATACTTTTACAAGAAGGAGAGGTAAAGAAGGGAGAAAAACGTCTAAGGCATTTATTTGTAATAAATTTTCCTCAAGTAGCAAGTATTGTATATCCTTATACAATAGTAATTTCCATTATCTCCAGCTTACAAAGATTCAAATATTTCTTGAGAATAAGAAGCATGCCTTTGTATCAATACTTACGTACGGAAAGAAGAAAAGACAAAGAAAATCTAAGTGGAAATTGACTAAATCGGAAGTTTATTTCGAATAGTTTTCTTTTAGGAAAAATAGCAAGTTTGACCAATAAGGAACGTTTAGAAGTTGGAACTTGTGAAAATAATGGAATGTAAATAAGTAAGTAAGCAAGTAAGTAAGAGGAGGTGGAGCAAAGACATGGTTCGTCTTCCCTCGTTTTCTCACTTTGATCAATTCCCTCGTTACCGTATCCTCGACGGTAACTCGATCGTTATTACTCGCGCGACCGTCAAAGGCGCGTCACGCTTTCAGGATCGCATCCAAGTGATCGTTGCTTGCTGACTACTCCTACCTAGCCCTCCTACCTAGCCCTCCCCACAAATTACAACATGCATTATTTACGGGAAGCAAAGTGCTATCTCTCATTACGTTCCTTCGAACACGTCTCTTTCATCATTTTGTTCTTTTATTTTCATAGGAACACGCATAGATTTGAACTTTTTAAAGTATTGACTTTCTTTGAGTTTAGGCAGAAGGCTTCAGGAAGGAGGTCGGTTAAAGGACTTTCGAGGACTGGCCAATCAAAAATAGGGCCCGAGTTTAATAGATTTCGACGTTTTGTTTTACGAACTTTTCCGTGAGCTAAGTAATGCAAGAAGGAGGACGAGTCAAAACGAGGAAAAACAACGAGGCAAGATCTTACCGTATTTTCGTTTCTCTTTTTTATTACTTTTTTTTTTTCTGATTTACCACCAGCCTGCTCGCTCGCTCGCTCGCTCGCTCGCTCGTTAAAGCAGATGGATTCTCCGATATCGATCGTGTCACCTTGAACACAGCTACCATTACTGTACGATTAATTGCATGCCCTTTTTTTTTGTTTTTTATCGTAAAGCTATCCTTAGACTCCGATCAGGAATTTCAAATCGATCGTTCTGGAAATGCAATTCTCGGAAATGCAAGTTTAAAAATGGTCGGAACAATTGTCATTATTAATATCGATTTAATTAGATCTCGCGTTCGGAGATAAAGCTCTTTGGCTCTTTGGCCCGTGTCTCGGGCATTCCTATTCGGTTGAATATTTTCCAAGGTAACGGTATGCTTACCAAAGTCTGAATTTGAATTGGGTCGATTCCGTGGTTTCAATTTGTCAGAGCTCAGAGCTCTCATATTTGAGTTGGGAAACTAATTACCGACGTAAAATGAGCGTAGTCGTGTGCTCGTGTGCGTGCTGGCTTACTCGTGCACCCACCCTCGCGAATTTGCTGTGATAAGTTTGATTAATGAAAGCAATAACTGTCAAACGTATATCGCACAATAGACGACGATAAGGGGTAAACAAAAGAGAGGCCTTTGCTTCCTTTCCAGATCCTTCGAGATCCATCTGTCGAGATCAAAGTCGACTACGAAAGCGAGTAAAGTGGCCCCCGAGCTGTGGGCTCCGGGTGGTTAGAGAGGTGCAAGGGTTATAAACATATACATATATACATGTTAGTAAAAAGTTGATAAGTTTATTATCACCTTTGGATACAAAGGAAATAGGCTGCTGCAAGTTAGTTCCTTGATATTCGCCGCGCCTATTATTCATCCCTTTTCTTAGCTTCGATCGCGACAAGAAAAATAAGAATAAAGTTAGCTTATGGAAGCGCGACGAAAATCTTATAATTTTCTCTTTTCTATGGATTAACAATATATAATTTTAGACGTATCCGATTATAATATATGCTCGTCGAATAATGGTCGTAGAATAATGGTCGTAGAATAATGGTCGTAGAATAATGGTCGTAGAATAATGGTCGTAGAATAATGGTCGAAATTATCTCTAACTTGTATTCAGACGCGCATTTGCTCTTCTTACGGATACACGATACACCTACTGTGTCTATCTCACTTATCCCCTTATTTTCCGTCAATCCGTCAATCCGTCAATCATTTATATGTTCAGTAACGTAGAATGTAAAGCGGCCTGTGCGGCGTACGCTCAGTGAACCCACCTCTGCAGTGACCAAAGGCCTGGGTCACCACGTCCGCCTGGTGACGACACGCGTACAGACGTAGTTCGCACTCGCTGTCGTAAGTCTGTCCGTCGCTACCGCAAACCGGTACCAACGGTATGTCCGTTGGACAAGAGGACGGACAGACACAGTGTGGACCACCTATTTCGGAACAGTGTCCTCCGGAATAGCACTCCAGTTCCTTGCAAGATGTTGGGATCGGTGGTATCGTATCGGCTGAGAACATAACAAAGTACAATGTTAAATTTGATCTTAATTGATAAATAAATTAGGTAAATAGACGACGACGGCCACGCAGATTGTTTGTTTTTCTCTTGACTCGTTAAAGAGATTGACATTTTCTATAAGATACCTGAATAACACCCGGTGGGCGTAAGTATTTTATTGTGATCGGTGCAGATTGTACACTTTTGGCCCTGAATGTCGGGCTTACAGACGCAACGTCCGGTCATTTGTTCGCAATCCTCTCGGACGGAACCAAAGAGAGAACAACCGCAAGCTGTAGAGATACAAAGGAAAGGTATGAATTCATTTATTATTAATTTTGCATTTACAAGAGCAAGTATAATTATTCGTCTTTCGTCTTTCGTCTTTCGTCTTTCGTCTTTCGTCTTTCGTCTTTCGTCTTTCGTCTTTCGTCTTTCGTCTTTCGTTTTTCGTTTTTCGTTTTTCGTCTTACGTATACATCCTTGATGTCCTTCGCTGATCTTTGGTAATCCCCAATAACCTGGCATACATCTGTCGCATTTTAGACCACCCACTCCTGGTCGACATTCGCACTGTCCAGTTTCCGGATTGCAGGTGTCGGATACACTACCAAGTCTGTTACAATTGCATGAACTGGGACAACCAGCTCCATCCGGTCCGAGAGCTGTGGTTTTACCGTCGGGACAGCACCCGTGCCAGGAATCCGAGCACTTGACCACTTGAATTCCTTGGACTATCGAATGTAAAAAAACAATATAGCAAATTTATTGTTTTATTTTTTTTTATTTTTTGCGTTAAAATTATTTTAGTTTTTAGATTGGATGTTGTTACCTTTCTTGCAACATCGAGCAAATCGTGGCGTTTGATGGCAATAACTGTTGCTCGGACAATCTCGGCGATCGGGTCCGCTTCCACAATCGTATTCCTTGCCATCGGCATCGATCAATGGCGGATCTCCGTTGCATGGTTTTACCTCCATGCCTGAATAATTAATTACAATTAGAATGAAAGAAAAAATGTCTATGGTTAAAATATTCAGATAAAATGGAACATTGTATACAAAGTTAGCAGTATTAGTATTATCAAAGAATGAAGAAAGAATAATAGATGAAAGCATTGTTATCACGTGCAAACTAAGATGTCGGCCAACCTTGACACAGATCAAGGGGCCTCAGCCGTAACTCTTGTTGTCGCTGACAGGCCTCCATCTTCATAGCGCAGAGAGACGAGTATGTTCTGAGATCGCTGCCGCAGACCGGACGCATATTTTCCGGCGATATCGAGGCACAATCAAATCGGCAGCTACATCTTGGAAATTTATCTGGTCCGAGCTCGCACGTGGCCTCGAAATCGCAATGAATGTCCTTGCAAGCCTCTCGTTCTTGAGTGCTGGTAACGTCAGCTACCGTAGTGGCTACGCGCGTCAGAGCCGGTGTTGACATCGTCGCTGTTTCGAGCGATTTCAAGAGAGACAGACAGACAGACAGAGAGAGAAAGAGATAGAGAGACAGAGATAGAATGAGCAAGAGAGAGAGAGAGAGAGAGAATTAGGTGAAAGCGGATTAGAATATTTCAAATAAATTAATAGAAGCTTTCGTTAAAGCGTTCGTACGTATTAAGTAGATATATTTGAATGCATTATTATTCGAATGGATTTTTAAAAGGCATTACCTTGGCAACTATTTCAATCGTAGGTAATCGCTAATAACGTTAATTCGCGTGTTCACTTGGATGCAATAGAAATGACATAGTACAATGACGAAACTAATTTTATCGCGATAGAATATTTTTAGTGTAATAATGATTATAGAAAAAGATAGAATCGTTAGTTCGATATACCTTTTTCAATAGATCCTTCAATGTTCTTTTGTTCGATTGGAATCGCGAAACGTCTAGCTCGCGCTATGGCGATTGTCGAGCGTTATCCATTGTTTCGTCGAACGGTAAGTTATTTTTTGTTCCTTTTTTTCCCTCCCTTTCCCCCCCCCACCCACCCCCTTTGGGCCACATTGTTCGAATCTTCGATCGGCGAACGAACGAGTTTTAGTAGGGAGGAGTTTTCGGAAAAGGGAATTTTTCAACTTACTCAGCGCTGCCACAGCGAGTCTTTCACCGCAGTCGCCGTAGAAAATCACGTGCAAGGCCGGCAATTTTGGATCCCTCCCACAAGCTACCTTTTGTAATTCACACTCGGATTGGTAAGTCTTCGTGTCGCTACCGCATACAGGCTCTCCTTTACTTTCCGGACAGATCTCCGGACATACGCAAACTCCTGCCATACACCGACCTCCGTTTTCGCATTCCACCCTCGCGCAAAGTTCTGCAAACCATTTCAATTTTCCATCCACTTAATCAATCATTAATACAAATTCATGAATTAAAGGGAAAAAATGACTAACCGCAGTCGCCCATATAATGAATGGCGATTTCGGTCTGTGAGTCACAGGAAGCTTTCTTCAGGGCGCACTCGTTCTCGTAGCTTACACCGTCGGTTCCGCAAACTTTTTGCCCCGTTGACTCTTTCTCCTGAGAGAATTACATTACATATATTACATTATATATTAAATTATATCGTGAAAACATTAGCAGTGGCTCCTTATTAAAAAAGTAAACAATAGTTTTGATACATACAAAAGTACACGGATATATATTGTTGATTGAATAAATAAAATAGATAAAGAGACTAACAATTTTCCCGTTAGAGCATATACTTTTAGATGAAATAAAAAAAACGAGAGAAGCGAGAGAAGCGAGAAAAGTGAGCCATCAAACGTATTCCTATCTCCCTAGTTATTGTATATCGAAGGCCAACCGACACGCGCTAAGCCTCGTTCTTGTTAACGTAACAAGAGTCAAATATTCGTCCTATGATTCATATGCGATATGTATATACCTGTATGCATATCCTATGTATTTGCGTGAACGATATAAACATTTGCATTTGTAACGCACGTTCGCCTACGAATTTAATCATATTTCCCATATTTTTGTAGTTGCCAAACGATAAAAGATAAATCCCTTGATTTTACCATTAATAACGTTCGCTTATGTTTAGTTTATTCTGTATCCTATGACATTTGGAGTAATGTCAAATTGAAAGAAATTTGTAATAGAGCTTGTAGAGTTTCTCCCCAGGATGGTACGTGCCTACTTACCGTATGTTCGCATTTAGTCGGGCAAACGCATTTTGCCTCCCCAGCGCTGTCGCTCTCGCATTCTGCGTAATGTTCGCATTTCTTATTCTCGCAACCATCTGCAAAGAGGAAATTAGTATCACTTTATAAACATAATGACGTTATAAATCTAACGTAGGATGCAAGTTAACTTTGAGAGAGGAAAATTGACGTTCGTACGACGTATTTTTAAACATCGTCTTCCAAGATATAAACTATTTTATCATTTTTCCTATCTCGAAATATCTTTTCAAACTTGACTCATATTTCTACGGATCTTTAAAAGATTGTTTTGAGCGATATAAAAATTATATAATACGTTTGAATCACAGTGCCGTATTTAGCAGTGATATAAAAATGTTATATAGAAATCCTTAGCAAAGGGAAAACAGCGATGTATTCGCAAATTTTGTATCGATCGGTCTTGCCCGACAAAGCACCGACTCTCGTTCATGAGAATTGAATTCTCATTTAAATGGAAATATATTCGTATAATGTTTTCATGCATTAATCGTCTAGGAAAAACAAAATTCGATATTAACGCATGAAATTATTTGGATATTTCATAGAGAATAATATCTTTAGACGACGATGACGGTAGGTCAGGAAGACACGTAGATGTTCGCGAGTGTACGCGAACAGAGTCCTAGAGGAGAGTTGTGGAAGAAATGGGAATAGTAGTTGGAGGAAAAGGAAAAGGAAGAGGAAGAGGAAGAGGAAGAGGTAGAGGTAGAGGTAGAGGAAGAGGAAGAGGAAGAGGAGGGCATCGACAGATGCATTCGCGAATGTGTGAATTTGCGTTGGAAATGAACAGAGCCAGGTGTCACGCGGTACCCAGCCTCGGGGCGAACCCTCGAGTTGTACGTTTGTTTCGTGCACAGCCGGGTCATTCGCGAGTAATTTCCATAAAGAGGGCGAACCAGCGACAGAGAGAGAGAGAGAGAGAGAGAGAGAGAGAGAGAGGAAGAAGAGAATGTAGAATGGGGAAGATTAAAGCGGGACTATATCGTAGTTTCCGCGCTTTCAGAAATCCTTGTCATCTTGTTATGACGGACGATAAATTTCGTATCGCCTCCAGGAGGTGCTTCTCTATTTTCTCTCTTTCTTTCGTGTCACGTAAAGTCTTTGTACTTTTTCTCTCTCTCACTCTCTCTCTCTCTTTATCACCTTTTCATTGCGAATATCTCATTATCGATAGAGAGACACTTATATGTTACAATATTCACGATAATATTTTCACGATAAATTCGGGATAAAATTTAGTCTTTAGTCAAGGAATTACTCACTGCAAAGGCCTTGATAAAGAACTCGAATCTCTCGTCGATGTTGGCAAGCCTCTAATCTCAATTTGCACTCGTTTCCGTAACTGATGCCGTCGTCTCCGCAAACCGGTTGAAATTCGGCAGGACAGGTAGGACACTCGCAAACGGCGGTTCCACCATTTTCCGCACAAATTGCACCCCATTGGCAGACCTGTGAGGAAAAAAATAAAAGGCTCGTCTCATTTTTAGGTGTAATTAATCGGGTTAAATAGAGCCTTATCCCGGGAAAGTTAGTCCGCGTCGAAAGAGTCCGCGCGTTAGACGCGCCAAAGAGTCGAGGATCCCTCTCGACTCTTTCCAGGAGCGCGCACCCTCACCTAAAGCTGATAATTTATTGCTGACGATATTTTATCGCGAGGCATAATTTACTACGCTCGGCTGCTTTAATTCTCAGGATTTAATGTACTTTGCTCCATTAGATAACTGCGCTGCACTGTCCTTTTTCTCCGATGTGGAATTCCACGCGAAAGCTCCTAGAAATATTACGAGATTGTGACGCGGTGCAATACCGGTATATCCAATGATTCGATTCGAGTGCAAGCGACTTTTTACAGCCACTCAAACTTTTGTCCTCGACTTTATTCCGTAATTAATTATCGCGAGGATTTTGGCGAGTAGAAAAAACTCTTATAAAATAACTATTTGTTGGATATTAGATAGATACATAGAGCGAGAGAGGAAGAGAGAGAGAGAGAGAGAGAGAGAGAGAGAGAGAGGGAAACTGACCTTTTCGGAGCAGGGTCCTCTAGAGCCGCAGGTACCCGTGTAAGCGACCTCGATATTGCTCTTCGTTAGACAAGCCCTTCTCTTGAGCTCGCAAAGGGATGTGTAGGTAGTGCCACCGCGCGCACAAACTGGTCTCATAACTGGCTCGCATTCCGGACCGCATTCGCAGCTCGCAATACCATATCGGTTGATGGCACATTGTTCGTACGAGCCGCATTTCGCCTCGTCGCAGGGATTGATACCTGAGAAATTGAGCGGAAAACGTGGCTTTCGATTATACGTCTCGCTGCCTCATTCCAATACCATCTTTGACTTGGCAAATTATCTTTTAGCAAATTTGCTGTTCCTTCATCATCGATAGAACTAATTAGGATGCTCGTAGATATATCGCTAAATTGTCCTTGTTTACGAATACTACCCAGCATTTAATTCCTTCGAAATTTGGTCTTACCTGAGCTGCAGGCACCATTATAGATCTTCCGAAGTGGAAGCCTCGATCTGCAAGCTTCTTGTCGGAGGCTACACTCGTTCGAGTAAGTCTTACCGTCGCTTCCGCATACAGGTGAAAATTCGAGTCCGCATTGTTCACCACAACGGCAAGCGGGTTGCCTAGAGCCATCCAACTGACAGATTTCTGGTTCCATGCACTCGACGTTACCACAGGGATCTGTAATACCGAATTACGAATATTATCAGGTATTTTTCTAAGAACAATTTAACGAGACATCAACCATTCTTCTCTTCGACAATAATTTAGAATCATCAGGACCTTAGATACACACACGTTTACATCCTGTTATGGGAACGTCTCTTACCTTCATTTCCTACCAATTTCTTTTTTCCCATCGAAAGAAAAGAAGAAGAAAAAGAAGAAGAAGAGGAAGTTATTTATTGGTAAGAAAACGTATGCGCATAAATCATGGAAATTGAAGTGTGTAGTTTGGAAAGTTATATTTTGATGGATGAATTTTCTTTCTCGGCAGAGAGAGAGAGAGAGAGAGAGAGAGAGAGAGAGAGAGCGTGGACAGGATAACTGAAATTCCATCGGCTCGGTCTCCCGGTCTCCTGGTCGCCCGAGGGATCTGCCAAAGGTAAGAGAGAAAGAGTCGCGCCAACGATGAAAGTGTCTTTAAAATTCCCGCATCGCCGCCACAAGGCAATTGTTTTTAAGTTCTTCGGTAGAATCCTTTTTCTTCGCTCCAGCGAAGCATTCAGGCGTCGCGTGGTGGCGTCTGCTTCCTTCTCGTGGCCTCGCCGATCCCGCTAATCTTCCAACTTGAGCGAAACTTTTCCATGCGGTCGTCCGTGTCCCATTTTTCTATCCCTCTCCTCCAAACTACCCTACACTTTACATTACATTGTGAAATAACTTAGAAAAAAGTTTAAATAATCATTTGCAAAGAGCTCCAGTGGAAAATACGCAATAAGAGCTTTTTCATTGTTTCATCCAATGAATTGGGCAAAGGAAAGAAGCGTATATCACCGGAATTTGACCAATGCGAACTGTCGATGAAGCCAAATAGAACGATAGAAACGGATTTTTCATCGGAGTACTCACAATCTGCATCGGCCTCAATTTTATGGACGTTCGAATGTTCCCGCGAGCCTACCGATGCACACGCATCAAACGGATGCAATAGTATTTGATCGATTTGCTTCGGTTTCGTTCTCTCGCAACGATGCGCTCGATAAGCTACGTTCAGATCCAGATAGGATATATTTAATGATAACGCAAACCTGCGCAAAATCGATATATTACCGATATGTTGCCGATATGTTGCCGATATGTTGCCGATGTGTTGCCGATATGTTATTGATACCAAGCCATTCGTCTTTCCATTAAGGAACTTTTCCTTCTTTCTTCTTTTATCAGTTATGTATAATATTATTACATAGGAAATTCGCACGATTAGGGATTGAAAGGGATCTTGTTCGAGCATGAGCACGAGCACGAGCACGAGCACGAGCACGAGCACGAGCACGAGCACGAGCACGAGCACGAGCACGCTTAATCAAACTCGCTCGAATATCGCATAAATCGTAATTGTCGCATCTCTTTGTATGCTCTTTGGGTAGAGTTGAGTGGGAATGGGAGAGAGAATATGGCAGCCTTATCTGCTACTTCCGGCGTTGCTCGCAAAATAGCGAGAATACGAGACACGCGAAACGAAGGGGCGAGCGAACATTACGAGCGTCGTATAAAGGTATTATGTCTGGTAGCTGGAATGACTGGGTTTATGTTAACAGCAGCTTCGCGGTGCTTCCGGGTTAACGTACGCCACCAGTATAACCCACTTCCGTTCGATCTACCTTCATTTTCCTCAGTCCTCGGGTATCGCCATCTAGAAACCGGCAAAGCCATTGTGCTTCTCATTCATCGTGCACCCTCCTCCCATAGTGCAACCCATAGTTGTCGCAACCCGCGTATCTCTTCTTCAGGTATCACACTCGTCGTTATTCGCTTTGTTCGAGTGTAGGATGATTTTCTATTTAGAGAGCTTTGAGAAATAAGTTGAAACAAGTGTAAGTCGAATAAGTGCAGTATATGCAAGTATTCGTATTGGTTAGTCGGTTACAAGGTTTGCGCGAGCTCGTTTTCCAAGTACCGTTTCGAACTCTTATATCCCTTTTCTTCTCTGTTACGACGTATATGTTCTCCTTTCAAAGTGAAAATCGAGCGTCGATCCAACGAAAGAGGAGCTTCCGTTTCGTTGAACCTGTTCGCAAAAGGTCTTTGGATAAACACGTTTCAACGACGTCACCAGTCTGCTGCCTTTCGTACGGGCACACTCGCACACCCTTTTCTTCCTTCGAGATTTCCTCTCAGGTCGTCCGTCTCTAGGTTCGACGGAGGCAAATACTTTAGCCTAGCGAGTGTGAGAATTTAGTTGAACCCGTTTTGCAGAATCGAACCTCGTATCTAAAACTCTAGTCCGCGAGACCCTTACGCGGCTCGCTCGAGCGTGAAAACAATGGGTTATCTACACTTTTTGTCCTCTTCGTTTTTTTTTTTTTTTTTTTTTTTTTTTTTACCCAAGATACCAGAAAAAGAATCTCCAGTTGAAGTGAGTTTATTCGACGAAATGTAGGCCAACAGGAGACGCTTGTAATCTCAACCTTCTTCTACGTTTTCGCGTTAATTAGAAATAAAAGAAATAACTTTGCTTCCTCGATTTCCTTCAAACTTTGTCCTTTTACCTCGAGAATTGGAATATTTTCTATTAATACCTTTGACAATTTATGTTTCGCAAGTTGGTATTTATCGTCGTGTCACACATTTTCAAGATGATTCTATTTCCTTCTGTAGTTTGTTTGTTCGGTCCTGCGCGACGAGCACCAATCTTCCTTTTTAATCTTCAAAGCAAAACTTGTCCAATTCTATGGAAAACGTTTTTCCATAGCATTTTCTCCATTTTCAATATACTGGTTTAGATTGGCGATCAGAAAGTAAAAAGTAGAGTAGAAAAGAGGATAGGTGGGGGCAAGCGAAACGAGTTCGGTGGCTCGGAAGTCTCGAAACTTTTGCGAGCTAATTTGATTTATCGTCGGCACCACTCGAGATTCGTATCCGGAGCTATTCTATGAACGAAAGACGTTGCGACCGAACTAACAAACGGACTAGAGAAAGGAGATAGGAGCGGGTTGAGATGAATGCCAGGAGAAGATACTTTATGCCAAGGACAATTTATTATCGATTTTGCCGGTGTACTTTTACACCGCGGGACCAACTGGCATCGATTGATAAACGTTGCTCAGGGTTGCGTCAAGATGCAGAATACGAAAACTAATGCGAGGAAGAAAGGGAGAACACAGGAGAAGGACGAGACGACTCTTTCCGACGTCCCTACGAGGATTCTCGGGAATATTACGTTTCATTGTTCCTTATACAATACCAAGGTAGAAATACAATTGAAAAGGAAAGGAAACGAAGAAGTCTCGCGGAAGAAAGAAGGAGGAGTAAGAATACAGAGATAGAGGAAGACGTTCATCTTTGTAAACTTCCGACGTCATCGTCCTTGGTGTGTGACTTTTTCTTCCTTAGTGTCTAGATCTAGGTGCAGTCGTTATTACGCACAAACGGATTTGCAATTTTCCCTCGATGCTAGTCTCTACGCTACAATTGAATATTTTTTTCAGTATTTTTTCAATATTTTCTCTCAAGTTTTCAACTTGCGCATTTTTTGTTAGGATATTTTTTTGTACTAGCAAGCGGGTGTACAAGCAAGAGGGTAGACTTTATTAAGCTCGCTCTCGTTTGCGACTTATTTTCCGCATCATTTTCGTTATCCCAAGAGAGATTAACAGGATAGTAGCGAAACAGGGTTGGAGCAAAGCATGATAGGAGCGAAGGGGGAGGTAGGAAAACGGACGAGAATCGTTCGACAATGTATTTAACCAGCTCGTTAACCGGTGGCTGCGATTATCGTAACTGTTACCATCGAATATCATCTCCTGAGTCTGCGAACTTGTCTCTTCTATGAAAGACGAAGAAGTCGAGCGTGAACGACGCACGAAGAGACAGGAGAGACAGAGAAAGACGAAGGAAGAGAGCACAAGGGATGGAACTTACTTAATCCTAAGTAAACAAGGGTTCCCTCTTGCTACCTGTCTGATCAAACATTTGTCTTTACTACTCGGTTGATTAAACGCCTGCCAAGTTTGTACTGCGTTCGAGACGAAGTGCCTCGGCAACTTCCGTAAATGTGACGACGACGAGAAAGATAAGAGAGGGAGAAAGTAGGATGACTGCGAGTATGGAAAAGGGCTTTTAGAATCGTAGATAGAAGCACCGAAGCTTGACTCCGTTTGCGTCAAGGTTGAGTCGTATATATCTTGCAAGCGCGTTTCGTCTGAACGCGTTCCTAGCAAAGCTTAGCCATCCGCTAATTTATCATTGTCCACATCTGCCTAGAAGCGTACTAAAGGAAAACCGACCGACTTCAAACGCGCGAATTTGTTTTTCTTCCATTTTTTTTTCCATTTTTCTTCCATTTTTCTTCTTACCAATTCAAATTCAACGACTCTTGTTCTCTTCTCTTCTCTTCTCTCCTCTCCTGAAATTAGACGGTATTTCATCTTGAGCATTGGATGGATCGCTGAAAAGGTATGTGTTTACTCGTGCCAGGGTATCTATATAATATCGTTAAGGTATAAATTAAACTCATCGATCATAGCCACGCCATTACAATTTCTTTTTTTTCCTTTTTTTTTTTTTATGATAATATGCAAGAGCAAGGCTTTGCTTTACGATTGGAGACGCTTTGGAAAGTTAAGCTTCTTATAGAAAATATATAAATATAATTTTCATTGGATGAAATTATCTACGATAGAACGAATCATAGTTTGGTTCGATATTATTGGAACGCGCTCGCTTAGCGTAAGTAAGCTCTCTCTTCGCGCGACAAAACAAATTCGCTTATAGGCATATCGCTTGATCATTGAGTTCTGTTGTCCGAGCTTTATAAACGTAACGTTCGTACGTCACGTATGACCTGGTAGAATCGACGATTCGTATTTTTCTATATTATTTATTACATTGATTTATAGAATAATAACTTACCGCATCTACCCTGAAAAGCCACGCTGATATTTGCGCCTTTCGTACAAGCGCTTTTGTTCAAGTCGCACAAGGTCGGATAATCGATGCCGTCAGTTCCGCAAACGGGTCCAGAACCTTCGTGATCTCCCAAATTCGGACAGATTTGTAGACACTCGCACGAGGCTTCTGTACCATCGCGACTTCTTACGCATTGGGCACCTTGAGAGCAGTTCAATTTGACGCATGGATCTTTGATCTCTGCAACAAAGAAGGAAATCCATAATGTTAAGACATTACACATAGGTATATTTGATATTGAATTAATTGAATGATTTTAGTAAACGCGCTTGCTCGCTCGCTCGCTCGCTCACTCAGTCGTTCGCTCGAAAGAAGGAAGTATACCTTTTGGAAAGACGTAGCAGCAATGGGATATAGTTAAGGCGGCGTAGAGTATCAGAAGGGCGTACGTTATCATTGTTCGCGCCTGCCTCCGGAGTCCCATTCTGGAAAGCAAATCGACATATCTGGCTCGTCATCGGGCACATCCGTACGATTACTCGTAGCAGCTAACACATATGTATGCACGAGTCGATTCGCTCTTCTCTATTATGCGAAGAAAAAGATGCAAAGTAAGCGTTTCGGGAAAAGAAGGTTGCCGCGAGCGGATGTAGCTCAATAGAATAGGGTGCTATATAACCTTCCTCCTTCGTCGAAGGAAGCCCGGAAGGAAAGATAGGACTTTGTCCGAATGATTGATCGTTTGCATTCAATAACTTGGCACCCGGTGTATTTTCGATTTCGCATTCACCGCAACCCGATTATCGTCGTTAATGCATTTAATTCGCCACCCTCCCGTCGTCCCGTCGTCCCGTCGTCCCGTCGTCCCGTCGTCGCAATGCCAATCGATGCATTATTAATTATCGGCATGACAAACGCAATTAGCGCTCGTCTCCGCCTAGTCGGCTTCCATTTACGAACCGATAGGTCAATATGAACCTCTTTCCACCCTTGTCTTTCTAATTTACCGATTCCATCGAATTATTCACTCATCCCTCGCGACAAAGGATCATAGGAAAGAGATAGGGTAGAAAATGTGTGTGTGTGTGTGTGTGAAGCGATATCTATAATATTATATGTAACGTATATACGCGCGACTAGACTAAATCTCAATGGGAGGGAAGGTCACTTTCCTGGTGCATAATCGAATCAACGAATTGATAAAAAATCAGAATTAATCGAAATCCTTCGTAATTGGATGCAGCCTCGCCCGAGTCGTTGTGTCAGGGTTGCTGCATATAATCGAATGTTAGACTCGATTTGCAAAGAATTTATTTGAAACCGCATAACTGTGTATTCGTAAAAATAAATGAGAACAATGGTTTGGTACAATGAATTTCTCTCACAACGTGCAGCGATATCGTAATTAATAATCCATTTTGGTGCTTTTTGCCAGTACGTCTGACCGTCGCAGCTCGTCGTTAACGCTTGCGGGATAATTTATTACCTCCGCGACCAACTGCATCCTATTACTCGACCCCCGCCAGAAGATTCTCTTCCTATTTTACAGATGCTTGCTTTTTCGTAATATAGGTAATACACTTTCCTATATTATCCTATATTGAGGCCCACGGGGCGCGTTGGGAAAGAAAAAAAAAAAAAGCTAGACTAGAAAAGCAACAACTAGCTATAACTAGTTTGGCATTATTTTTGCGAGTAGCTTTGATGCGAAACACGCTAACCGAGATTAGAGCCCTACTATTTCTACAAGAGCGTGTAAATACGTAATCGCTTTTTCCGAGTTGAAAAGTTCGTTGCTTGTTAAATTCGCATATGCGGCGAATTTGAAAGCGTCCTGCAGCGCTTATCTACTTGCCTGACCACACTCGGATATGTTCTCTACTTATTGTTAGATTCCAGCAGGAGCGAGACCTAATGGTACTTACGTTCGTCGCATTGTACTCTACAATATATCATAGCTATTTGAAATATCTCGAATTTATCATCCGTTATCGTTTAAAGCACGCACGCATCGTTCATACAGCGATGGGGAATACGAATTTATCCATCTGTGTTTATTTATCCCCTTGATGAGTACAAACAACCTTTGTGAAATGTTAAATAAAATGATCGAGCAACGATAAATCGTATTAATTCGTGTGAAAATTTAATACGATCAATTATGCGTTCAATTTTCCCATATTATATAGGATCTATTTGTTTTTGCTATCTTTGGAATTAGAATGAATGCGTGAATGGATTATTAGATCCACACACACTTCTGACACGATCCTAAACTAGTATCCTAAACTACTTAGTCGGTTGGCTAATCGAAGGCGAGACGACTGTAGTGAGTACCTTTATTCGCTAGCAAAGGATTCAAAGCGGGCTCTTTGTCGCTCGAGCACGTGGCGGTGGCGGCGGCGGCGGCGGTCCTATATAAGGACTAGCATACGGCTCCATTATCTATGCTAATTAAGGAAATGTCGGCCATCATAGCGGGAATGCGGAATCACGAAGCGTAAGGGAGTTAAACGGTAAACTTTGAGCGAAACCACAGCCGAACAATGACTCCTTGACACACGTCCAATGCCGGATAAGAGTCGATTAGTCTTATATCTGATTCGGACGTGCCGTTAGCGCGTTATACGCCATTAACCCTCGTTTAGATTTTTATCGGTATCACCTCCTTCTTATTACTATCTACTACCTCTTATGATTTCAACAACGACTATCTATATCATCTTGTTCTCATTATACTTGGGGGAATTTACTTTTATATTTTCAATGAAATTTATTTCTACCAAATGGTTCAAAGTACCTTACAACCAGTACATGCCTAGGATCGAACGAACATTTGATTATCTTCTTCACATCGAGGGCTTTGAATTTTCACCCTGCCATCTCTCTGGACGCCTTTATTTACTTTATTTACTTCTCTGTAAGATCTTTTAGAAGGTGAAAAGAGAAGAAGGATCATTTATTTCCCCTTTCGTCAAGTTTTTCAAAACTATGTTCCCCATTGTGGCGGAAGGAAGAATTTTCGAGCGATAAAGGCCGAAAGAAATGACTAGACCAAAGTCAAAAGGGATTTCCATTTAAAAGCTCCATTGTATTAGTTTCTCTTTACGACAGAGCGTTGTAACAAGGCCAAAACGTATTATTAGAATGCGACCCGTAGAGCAGATTAAAATTTAAGTAGTCAAAGAGAAAAACGAAAAACCACCGAACAAGAAAGACCGTATACTTGCGTATATTCCTACTTATTTCACAAACTATGGCGACTTTTACAAAACACGATGCAGCAACGAGACAATAAATAGATAAGACAATAAATAAAATAAGGAGCTTTTTAAGAATATTAACTATAATGAACCCTTCTTGTTCATCATTGGAAAGCGAGCTTGGCACTTTTCTCTTTTCGATCTTTTCACTGGGCTGCGTTCATTGATCTTGGGAGAGTGAGAGAGAGAGAGCTAAGCTATTTTCGTTAGGAAGCACGTAGAGAGCTTACGAGCGCTGATCTTATCAAAATTTATTTCGCGGCAACGTGATTAATAACACTCACTTTTGCATGTAATATATCATGCGTAATGTTGTAATTATTGGTTTGCAGTTTTAAATAGCACTACACTTATTCCGCGCTACATTTTCAAAGCACGGAAATAAATGTCATTGTGATTGGTGAATCGTTTCTTCATGTTGCAGTAGAATAGAAACTTTAGAAAATGAAAAAAGTGTGATTAGAAATAAAAATTGACACGCGAATGGCATGCGGATGGCGGTGACAGTCGATGTTGGGAAAACAACTCTCCCACAGACGACTGCTTTCCCAGCGTTTCCTCTTATTTACGACCTCGATGTCGCCCTGTTTTCCCTCGATCGGGATAACCACGCTCCGACACACTGTTGAGAATTATTTCCTCCCTACGTTACACAGATCCACCATGGATCCATGCGGCATCGTTCTAACCCAATTAACTTTTTTTTTATGTCCAGTTGTAACGTGAAAAAAGATTGTCCCTACGTATACACGTATACGTATTCAAATACGTTGGTAGGTTATTCAATATGCTCGCAATGAACGTTTTATCGATAATTCCATTTGATGCCGGTCTAACGAAATTAGAAACAGTTACATTGGCAAATTAGTTTTTCTTTCAAAATAGTTTGTTCAAGAGACGAAACATTTTTTAAACGATTCTCCGACGACGCATAGAAAGATTAGATAGATTTATATACGTAATTGAACGAATGTACAATTGAAGAGAATAATTTATTGCGAGCTGGTGGATCGATTATAAAACGGTCGTTCGTGTTGCATATAAAGCACGTCTGTTTGTATTATACATACGCGCGTACACGTTCATTTCTTGCCGCGAGATTTTGGCGAGATTTTAGCGAGATTTTAGCGAGATTTTAACGAGGAAGAGACTAAGAAATATTGTACAAACCCTCCGACTTGGCTTCGGATTACAATTAACTAAAGTACAAAGTGCACGCGCGATTTACGAGTCTACCTTTTACGTTCCCGTCAAGTCGCTTTCCCAAAGGGCTTGCCTTTAATTCGATAATACCGGCGGTCCTGGAAGCGTGCAATATCGTGCTTGGTCGCGAACAAGTCGCGTGAGTTTCCTTCATTTTCGAGTCAGTCCGGTTTCGCGACTGCAAGACTCGCGAGAGCAAGGGAAACGATTACTTTCGCGTTTCTTCTCTTCGACTCGGCCAGTCTCCTGCTTAGCCTCCACTACCTGACCTCCCTCGACCATAGGTAAGATCGTAGATTTGGTCAAACGAAAGAATTATACTTACGTTGTGCGTGTTACCGCAAGATCCGATATAGATCGCTTTTCTAAAAACTTTTTACGGCAGCGTAAAAAGAAAGGACAACGTATCAAACCAATGCGTTATTTGCAAAATGCCAATTTAACAACTGGAGTATATCTATGAAGATACGTATGTATGCCGTAAATATTCTCGAGCGACGAGATATGGGTGCGATTCGTAAAAGCTACATTGCTTTATTTGCTCCCTCGTTTGTTTCGTCTAGAAAATGTTATAACTGTTTACGTAACTTGCAACGACGAACAGTCATATATTATTACCTACGCATACGATGTATACCTAAGCTTATATTAGCACAGTAAAGAGAGCATTTCATATTTCTATCTTTCATCATTTTCATGAAAATATTATAATCGTATGTCTAATTAACGTACAAAAACCAACACGATTCTAACCAAGTTGACAAAAGATATAATAGATATTTAGTTAAGTTGTTCAAATAGATATTTAGGAAGATTTTCTTGTTCTCTTTCTTTTTGTTTTTGTTTTTGTTTTTGTTTGACAGAAAGATGATGTTTTTCCATAGCAGTAGTTCGGGCGTAGAGCTACGTTTACGCGCTTATATCGCGCAAAAGTACATATTAAAAAGGAAAAGTAATAAAAATAAAGTCGGTAAAGTATTTTCGCTAGAAAATAATTCCATGAAAGTAGCGTGCAAAGGACGACGATCTTAATATTTAATCCAACCGTTCGTTCTTCTAGACTTGACTTTTCTCAACGAGTAGGACGATAAAAGGGCTCTTTGAAGAAAGCTAAAAAGCGTTTAATTATCCGCCTGCTCTAAGCATTTCCGTGTAACGCGAATCTTCGAGGCATAAAAAAGGATTTACGTTTATCGAAGATTCGGTCGTTTGTACTTAACTATGCGAGATATCACGCGAGGGAACTGTTGATAAATCCTTTTTTTTATTTTCATCGACGACCGTTGTATCTATGTAATAACGGAGTAAGAAAGTTTTCTTCGTGGAGGAGACTTGTACGACTTGTTCGTGTAGCTTGTACGTATGATAAGCAAAACGAGACTCTTTCTTACTCTTGTAAAGCAGTTATGTATGCATAAGAAAAGAAGCGGCATGCGCTTCGTTCATGAATAATGCGCCCGCCGAATAAGCTTTTTATTTGCGAATGAAGAAGCAACACTGCTCGTTATTCCAAAATCCTCGCTAACCAGCATATGTTTATAAGCTCTATCTCGTTAAATCGTTCAATCATAATCAAAAGCTCCTTCTCTTTCTCTTTCTCTTTCTCTTTTATTTTCATTGTGCGTGCAACCAATAATTGCTGAAAAGAAAGTCTCTGCTTGTTAAAATATTTCTATTTTCTCGGGTATTATCTTTCCTCTGGGAAACACAAGAGAAAGAGGAAAAAGAGAAAGTACGTACTTAGGAAAGTAATGAAAATTTTGTTTCCTCGTGATATTAAGTTTACGAACATCTTCCCATTCCTTCCTGACTTTTAATTCGACCAAACTTGTTCTCTCTTTTTCTCGGTCTCTATGTATTTTGCTTTTTTTCATTGTTACTAGGAAGACGGCGCACGTGGCAGGCAAGCAACCTTGCCATGAAATAAAGAAGTAAAACCCGACGGAGGGATAAAGGGTGAAGAGGCAAAAAGTGGTAGAGGCGTTGCGCGCTCCTAGATCTCGACTTGTGCAACTTTAAAGTAGTTTGTGTCTAGGCTGGGTCTACATAAAGGGTCTATACGCCGTGTATGCTGGTGCCATAAACGTTTCTGCTTATACCAGGTATGCTCGTTTATTTATGAGTTATCCGAGGAACCAGCAGCGTGCTACCTGGTCGATTTCTTGCTTTCCAACCGTCCTCGCCTATATACATATATATATATATATATATATATATATATATATATATATATATATATTTAAGGACGATTTATTGTATCGATCTTTGGCCAATCTTACAACATTCTTTTTCTTTTACCTTTCCCCTTCACCCTCTTGTGTTTCCTTATCTCGGTTAAAGGAAACCGTCCACTTGCATTCTCCATCAATGCACCCTGATTGGGATTCTTATTTACGAATAAAACCTATTTAATGTCTCAGCAGAGAGACCAATTCAAAATCACCAAATTGACGACGCATAGATTATTTTCCTATTATCGTTTCTCATTATCGTTTCTTATTATCGTTCTTATTACGTTTGTCATTCATTCAACGCGAATTTAATAAAGGCCAATGGAAAGCAATGAATCGAACGAAAGCGTACTCAAAAACAATAGTAGACGGAATTACAATCGTTGCGGGTAGTTCCATCTTTGTTAAAGGAGAAGTAGAGTAAGGGGGAATGAAAATTCTCTGTGTAAAAGTGGAACTTGCGCTCGTATCCTTTCCTCGTTAAATATGTACTTTCGCGTGTACCCAAGAAAGTCGTGCGAACAAACTCTAAAGAATCTGGACTTCCCATTTCTCGAAATGGGAGTGCACAGTAAACTCGTTTAAACTGTACAAATGATATATTTTGAATTTTGCGTCAAACTACGTAGCACCGTTGTTAATTTAAGCTTGGTCTTGGTATTTGAATGCTTTGCAATTTGGTCATTTGCTTGTTGAACCTGGAGATCTTTGTTGATTCTATGACGTTTGGTAAGTTAGTTTAGTAACACTGCGATAACTCCGTATTCAAAGGGTTAAGGAGCTAGCACAGTTCCTTGTAGCGGTCGGGTAGGGTACCCTATGAAGATTCCGACATCATCATTCGCATCAACGGTAACGCGGCCTAACTACTCTACCTTTTCATAAGCCTCGACATTCTCAGTAAAGCGAGTACTCTTTGTGCGTTACTACATTACTACACGCTCGTGCGTACGAATATAGAGGAGAATTATTTCTCTGCTTGCTCAAAAGGTCTCTACAGAGTAAACCATAAAGTACACCTACAATCCGGCAACACCGGCTTACGTTCAGCCAATTGACCATTCGCTAAATTTTACATATTCGGATAAGAGTTTTTCTCAGTTGTGTTTTTAAAATAGAAATCTCCTAACTATTTAATTATGTACATAAAATATATATGTATATCAAAAGCATTCGACATAGGGGCACCGTTAATTTGTATCGCGATATACTATTTGCGGGATAATTGAGAGCACAAGAGAGTGACACTGACGTGAGAGGTACCTAGAGAGAATCAAAAGCGAACAGTTATCGTTCCCTCTGGCTCCATAGAAATAAATTTGCCAAGGAATTAATTAGAAATATTACATTTCCAATGAAAATTCTGCCAAGTTGACAGCGCGATGAATTCGCGTGTCGTTAGTGCGCTTAGTGTTAGTGCTTATTATCACTTAGGTGCGAAATGAAGCTTCGTTGCCGTTTTATCTCTCTCGTCGCATGGGTGTAATAACAGACGCACATTACTGCTAATATAGGTTTTTAAAAGAGATAACATTCGAGGATTCGTTATTCGTTACTCGAATATAATTCACAACTAAAATAGGATAAATTTGACGATAGGATGATATATTATCGGCCGTGTCATGAAAATTCTATCATTCTTTATAAAGTATTTTCATAAAATGTACAAAGTAGGTAGGGTTGCGATCAACGCGAAGGTTCTTGTGATCGAATTTCGAAGGAGTTTCCTCCCGACCATCATTTCATTTGCATACTCTCCGAGGAATATGAGTATTATTTATTGGGAACGTTTGTATCATGCAGTTACGTTGTGCTTTTTTCTCCCTTATTAGCAATTTCATCGATATCCAAATAATAAGATAGACAGGAGGAAAATTGAATTTCATTGACGGTTCAGCAATATCAAAGGCATCTTTTATCGATTTCAAAGGAAGTGCGTAAAAGGCGCTACGAGAGGCTTCATCGTGGCCTTCTGCAACCATACTCTAAATATACGTACAAAGATGAAGCAAGTAAAGGAGATAGAAAAGCTAAGACTTCAAAGAGAATCTACGGTATCTACGTCAAAGAACTCGAGACGTACGTACAAGTGTAGAACGGATGTGCGGAACCGTGAAGGCAAATTTTCAACAATCTCCTAACTTTTAGCCAAGAAAATGAAAGAAATTTGTTGTTGACGTGTTTTAAACGTTGAAAAGAATTAGCGCTCGTCTATAGGTGTACTTTGTTTTTATTCGCGAGATAATTAATGCTGTTTACTAGGGGGGAAAAAGGTGTTCGATCGCTATGGAAAGTAGAGAAAAGAGCGTCGGCATGCCTCGTGCGAAAGAAACGATACACCGAAAGGCAAATCGAAAGGCAAACCGAAAGGCAACTATAGAAAGGTCTATGAAAGCACATCTAGAAAAATTCAAAAGTGCCGCGAGCTAGGAAGAAGCTTGGCGATGGCGTCGCTATCGTTCTTCAATATGGCGCTCGTTCAGGATGACACACATCGTCAGGTTGACAAGGCAGGTTGACGAGGTTTCTACTACTTCTATTTTTCTTTTTTTTGCACCTTCCGTAGAATTTGAAAGTTCACTCTCGGCGAGCGTGAACAATTGATAGTGAGAGGAAAGGCTGGAGAATTATTCCCCCCTCTTTGTAAGATTCACAGTCGGCACACATACACGCGCGCGCGAAACCAAGTCGAAAGTCTCTTCTTTTTCCTGTCTCGAGAAACGTTCAAGAGATGATCCGTGTTGCGCAAAAAGTAAGAGTACGGTGATTTTGCGTGAGGTTAACTGGCGCCAAGCACGGATTTTCCAGACACTGAGATTTGTCTCCGACGAGAACCACCCTCCAAGAGGCGCTGCCGACCTCTGATATTGATTTTCCGGGGGAAAACAGAATAGAGGTGTGCCCATGATATGCTACCGACTGGGTGGTCTGGTCGATTTGGGTGGTGGGCTGGGTGGTGGCCAGCTGGTAGGGTTGCGGCTACTGGAAAGGGAACCTCCACGTGAAATCAAACAATAGAGTTAGGCTTTGTTCTAGACTTTTTCTATATTATTTCCAATAGCTGAGCATATTTAGTAAGTGGAAATAAATGTGCTCTGCTTGTTTTTCTTTCCGAGAGGCACCTAGGCGAACTCTCTCCGTTAGAGTTAGGAAAAAATGTAGCAAAGCCTCGTATCACGCATGAAAAATTTCGAGATACTTAACTTATAGGTAGGACGGCTTTCAAACGCTCTCTCTCTCTCTCCCTTTTACATCCTGTCGGTACAATGTAAAACTCGGTCCCCACAAGCTACCGGAATGACCTCGATCTTTTCATTCGTCCTGATTCACGAGAAAAATAAGACTTATCGCTTACATATTCGTTGATACGACGAATAATAGGAAGAAACTGCTCGACCGTAAAGAATCGTCGTCGCATTTGCTATTATCGATGATGAGTCAAAGTACCGATCATCTACGACGTTATAATTATAAAGAGTATCCGCGTCTGGAAAAATTTGATGCATATTCTTACTTGTCAAGAAAATTTGTGTGAATCGTTAATCGTAATATCTTCCTTTGCGACTTTTGTCAAAAAGAAAGTACGTCGTCGAGCCATCTCTATCCCATCTATAGAAGTAATATTTAATATTATTTGATTTTTTGGCTAGAATATAGGAAAATTCGCGTTCAACTCTCTTCTATTCTGTCTATCGTCGTTTCTAGTGCTAGAATTGGCTATAGAAATCGGTCTTTATTTCTACCGTATCCTTCGATTCTATTTCTTTTCCTTCGAGTACTTACTTTTCTCTACTTTCTTTTTCCCTTTCCTCCACATTCTGGTATTTCTTTTCTATCTGATTGATGCTAGCAATCTCCAAAGGAGAGGAGGCAAACTCTTAGTTCTTCCTATTTTCCCATCCTTGACGTATCGGAGTTTCTAAAGGAATCGTGCGAATATCGCGTTAGATCCACGTGGGATTTGTTTAAATATTCAAAGACCATACGAACTCGCATGCAGTATATCCGGTATATCCAGTTCTGCCGGATGGTCTGCGAGACACTAGGACTAAGAAGGAAGATGAGAAAAAGGAGAAAAGTATTGACTTTTGGGAGTGTCGTTTCGATGTAAGAAAAAATAAGTCGACTTCCATTGAAAGAAAATTCAATTGATTTGTTGTTATAGACAAACTAACATAAGGTAGATTGATAAGGATTTAAATAGAGTTGAAGCATAACCGCCGCAACTATTCTGGGTCAGGGTGACAGGATGGTAAAATCGTCGGGCATTTGGGCGAGAAAGTTTCGATAGTTGTAATGCCTAAATCGCATCGTTCGAAGGGGATTACGAGTAGTTTGCCAGCGGTCGGCTTTGCTACATACATATGTAAGTAAAAAGAGACCAGTGCGAATTTGTCGAGTGACAAATTGCTCTTATTCGAAAGAATTTCTTCCGATCTGTCAATCCAAATTTCGATATTAAAAATAACGTCCTTATTTCTCTCTCTCTCTCTCTCTCTCTGTCGTATATTCACTTGAACACTTTAACGATACTCCAATTTTCAAGCTGCTCTACAATTCGTTGCGTGTACATCCAGCAGAACCCTTTCCCTCTAAGGTTAATTGGATCTCCGCGTTTGCCGCGCGATTAAATGGACGTTAAACGAGCCGCAACGTTTGTCCGCGTCCTCTTCATTTTCTCCTCCTTGTGAACCGCGAATACGTCCCGAAAGAGAACAAAGTTTAAACCTCGCTTTTACAGTCGAAATCGTTTTCAGTCGCAGTCGAGTGGTGCACCCGTCGAGAAATATATGGGACCGGGTAATTTACCTTTATCGACTCATCCACTTATATGTAAATATGTTTATAATCTCAACGAATATTTGGCAAATCTTTTTTAGTTTAATCAATATCGTATCATGGAAACGTGCTGTGTCCGGAGTTGACTGGAAAGGAACGTTTTAGCTAGAAAATA